GCATCAGAAGAGCTTTAATTGGATGTATGGGTCACGCAACATCCTGTCCCTGATGCGAAAGAACTGCAGTCTTAAACTGTAAAACAACATCTTCCTTCCAATAGAGAGAGAGTTAAGGTAAAGGTTTCCCCTTTACATTAAGTCTAGTCATGTCTGGGGGATGGTGCTCATCTTGCCTGGCCGAATGTATCTCTCCCTATGAACCAGCTAGGAGCTTAAGATTGTCTGGGGAGGCCCTGCTCTCGGTCCCACCTCTTTCACAGTTGCGATTGGCGGGAATGAGAGACAGGGCCTTCTCATCAGTGGCTCCTTGGCTATGGAATGCCCTCCCTAGGTATATCAGATTGCCCCCCCCCTAACATTTTGAAAAAGAGTTAAAACCTGGCTTTTTGATCAAGAATTTGCAAATGCAGTGTAACAGGCTAATTTAGATCCAGGGAACGATTGGATGAAGTGACTGGAAAATGATTTTAGTAATGAGATGCTTAGGACTTGTGTTTTTATTGTTTTTATGGTTTCTAATGTTTTTATATGGCTTATATTAAATGTTTATGTTTTTAATTATATGTTATGTTGTTGGGGGCATTGATTGCTAGCTGTAAACTGCCTTGAGTTGCCTTTGGGCTGGCAAAGGCGGTATATAAATATGGCAAATAAATAAATAATCTCAATTTCTAAGCTGAAGAGCCGACGTTGTCCGTAGACGTCTCTAAGGTCATGTGGCTGGCATGACTGCATGGAGTACCATTACCTTCCCGCTGGAGCAGTACCTATTGATCTACTCACATTTGCATGTTTTCAAACTGCTAGGCTGGCAGAAGCTGGAGCTAACAGCAGGAGCTCACCCCATTCCCTGGATTTGAACCGCCAACCTTTCCATCAGCAAGTTCAGCAGGTTTAACCCGCTGCGCCACCAGGGACTCAATATACACACACATACATACACACACATGCGTATTAAATATACTTTAAATGCTGGGACTTGCTGTCTAATGACTCAATTTACATTGGCCAAAACATAAATAAACTCTAATGTAAAAAGCAGGATATGGACACTTTGAAAATGTGCGTTTTATTTGAAATTCTAAATATTTGAAATTCTAAATTATTTGAAATTCTAAACATATTTAGAGACATAATTGTTTTATAACAATTACAAATGGTTCATATCTATCTAAAGGCCCTTCCAGACAGGCCCTATATCCTAGGTTTTCTTCTTTAAACTGGATTATAGGAGTCTGGGATAAACAGAAAACCTGGAATCAAATCCTGGGATATAGGGCCTGTCTGGAAGGACCCGAAGTGTATCAAAGAGACAAATAAATTGGCTTCCATTTGATGTCAGTTTATTATGTACGCAAAATTTGAAACCACGTCATTTGAACTTGTCTGGAACAATATTTGAAGAATAGGCATAGAAATAATATGTTTGCACCTGCTCAGGTTAAACTGACATTTAGATCTTGAAATTAAGTTGGATTTAAATTGTTGTTTTATTTTGAATGTTGTTCTCCTTTCCCCCCCTAACTGTATTCAATTTGTTTATTCCTAAAACTTGAAACTTGAAAAAAAAGAGTACACCTGTATTAAGCAAGATATTAATTCTAGGCTATATGGTGAGTGCATTCTTTATTTTCAGACATGATTAATCACATACCTCAGTAATCCTTTTGCTTCTTCAATTGATCATAATGACACTCTTTTGCAACATAAACCAAATGCACCTGCTTCATTCTGTAAACTTATGCGATGATATCTGATCCATAATTGGTTGCAAAACAATGCCAAAAGAGTCATCATCGAAGTGTTCAAATTTGGGCATAGTGAGTTTCCGTGCCAAGTTTGGTCCGGATCCATCATTGTGTGAATTCATAGAGCTCTCTGGATGTAAGTGAACTACAACTCCCAAACTCAAGGTCAATGCCCACCAAACCCTTCCAGTATTTTCTGTTGGTCAAGGGAATTCTGTGTGCCAAGTTTGGTTCAATATCATCATTGGTGGAGCTCAAAATGTTCTTTGATTGTAGGTGAACTATAAATCCCAGCAACTACAGCTCCCAAATGACAAAATCAATCCCCCCTCCCCAACCCCACCAGTATCAAATTTGGGCATATCGGGTATTTGTGCCAAATTTGGGTGTATCGGGTACTTGTACCAAATTAGGTCCAGTGAATGAAAATACATCCTGCATATCAAATATTTGCATTATGATTCATAACAGTAGCAAAATTACAGTTATGAAGTAGCAATGAAAATAATTTTATGGTGGGGGGGGGGTCACCACAACATGAGGAACTGTATTAAGGGGTCACAGCATTAGGAAGGCTGAGAACCACTGGTTTAGAGGGCATGGTTTTCAAGTTTGCAGATGACACAAAATTAGGAGGAATTAGGAGGAACATAGAATCATAGAGTTGAAAATTGCAAGGAAAATTGCATTCAAATCACCCCCACAGATGGCCATCCAGCCTCTGTTTAAAAGCCTCCAAAGAAGGAGCCTCCACCACACTCCGGGGCAGAGAGTTCCACTGCTGAACAGCTCTCACAGTCAGGAAGTTCTTCCTCATGTTCAGGTGGAATCTCCTTTCTTGTAGTTTGAAGCCATTTTTTCTGCGTTCTATATGGCACTGTAGAAGTGTTATGGCTGATAAGACAGATAATACCAAGAGCGACCCTTTGTGTGAGGCAGAAAAGTACAGTTTTATTTTCAGCTGAGACCCTGGTGTGGAATCTTCTCCAAAAGCAGCCAGAGCAAGGATAAAGGCGTTGATTTTCCCTTTCATACATCTTCAAATGCTTGCAAACAAAGAAACATGCTTCTACATACATTAACATCACCACTATGTCACTTTTGCATCATAGAAATATCAAATTATATCTTTCTACATGCAAGCGGCATGTTTCTATATTTTTTCTAAAGCTGCTTACAGCAATAGAGATAACTAGGATTGAACTTATTCATCAAGAGGCCTATTTTTGATCTCTCAGGAGGGAGGAGGAGAGATTCCTTACTTTTTACCTCTATCTGTTCGTACTATGCCATTCTTATCTCCCCCCTCCTGGAATGCCCCCCCCCCCCCCGCCTGAAAGGGATCCTTTTTTTTTTTTTGAAGGGTGAAAAAAGGGAAAAAAAAAAAAAAATCCTTCAGCATCCCTTTTGTCCTGTCAGCTTGGCTTCCTAATACAAAGAGAACCCGAGTTTTCTACATTTCAGTGCTTGTAATGTACATACAATCTATATAAAGAAAAATGTAATCTTGATTTGCGGGATTAACATAACTCAAAAACCACTGGGTGAACTGACACCAAATTTGGCCACAAGACGCCTGTCAGACCAACGAGTGATCATCACTCATAAAAACACTGAAAAACACAGCGGAAGAGACTTAAGCCAAAAAACAAAATACATTACAATGCATGCGCAAAACCACACACACACATATATATACACAAACACACATATACACAAATATGTTCATTTGTGGGATTAACATAACTCAAAAACCACTGGATGAATTGACACCAAATTTGGCCACAAAACACCTGTCAGACCAAGTGAACATCACTCATAAAAACACTGAAAAACACACCAGAAGAGACTTTAAAAGCCAAAAAACAAAAAAAATACATTACAACGCATGCACAAAACCATAATACACTCAAACACACAAATACACAAATATATACATACATATATACACACACAAAACACATATACACAGATTGGGCCACAGCAACATGTGGCAGGGGACGGCTAGAATATGTATAAATATCTATATATTTCCAATATCTCCACATCAAAAGGTTCTGGTTATATCTATATAAATAAAAATGTAATGTTCATTTGTGGGATTAACATAACTCAAAAACCACTGGATGAATTGCCCTCAAATTTGGCCACAAGACACCTACTAACTCAAGAAGTGACCATTACTCAAAAAATTGATTTTGTCATTTGGGAGTTGTAGTTTCTGGGATTTATACTTAACCTACAATCAATGACTATTCTGAACTCCATCAATGATGGAACTGAACCAAATGTGGCACACAGGACTCTCATGACCAACAGAAAACACTAGAAGGGTTTGGTGGGCACTGACCTTGAGTTTGGGAGTTGTAGTTCACCTACATCCAGAGAGCACTGTGGATTCAAACAATGATGGATCTGGACCAAACTTGGCACAAATATTCCATATGCCCAAATCAGAACACAGGTGAAGTTTGAGGGAAATAGACCTTGACATTTGGGAGTTGTAGTTACTGGAATTTATAGTTCACCTACACTCAAAGAGCATTCTGAACCCCACCAATGACATAATTGGAGCAAACTTCCCACACAGAGCCCCCATGACCAACAGAAAATACTTAAGACCATCCAGTCCAACTCCCTTCACCAGGGTAAGAAAACGTATTCAAACTCCTCCTGACAAAGAGCTAGATAATAGATAGATATATATGATTCACACAGAGAGAGATATAGTATCATAGATTTGAAAGGGAGCCCTAAAGAAGGACAATTATATGTTGCCTGTTCCAGAGTGGACAAACCAGACAATCTCTACATCAACGCTGACAAAGAAACAGCAAGAAATACTGTTTACCCACAAGGAGAAAGAAATTACATATATTAGAAACCAAGACTTTCTCATTACTTTATTTTCCAGATCAACAGACTGGGCCACAGCAATGTGTGGCAAGGGACAGCTAGTAGGCTAGTGAAATAACAAATTCCCTGGAGAATGCCTTGATATGACGTCAGAGAGTTGTGCACTAAATGGCTCCTGACGTCAGAGTGGATTGAGTGGGGATTCCTAAAGGAGAGGCCCGCTGCCTTCACCCCGCGTGACGTCACTGTCACTGGAGGCAGGCAGGCAGGCAGGCGGGGAAAGCCCACTCTTAAGGCTTCAACCAGGAAGGAATGCCCTCTCGCGGGGGTGGATCTGTGTGACGTCAGGGGGAGAGGGTGGGGATCCCGGGGAAGCCCCTCCCCCGGCGGGGCGGGGCCTGCAGGCGGCGGGAGAAACGCCTTTCCCCCCCACTCCCCTGCCATGGCCGCGCTTTCCCTCCTGCGGATGATCCCGGCCTTGGGCGGCTTTCTCTTCGCCTTCGGGACCGGCGTGGAGCTCATCCGCTTCGTTTCCCTTCGGGGGCTTCTCCTGCCAGAAGCCACTTCTCCAGCCAGAACCGGTGCGAGTCCGTGGGAGTGGGAAAAGAGGGGGGGGGGGCATTAGGAATTGTGGGAGTGGAAGTCCAAAACACCTGGAGGGCCCAAGTTGGCCCATACCTCCTTAGAAGAGCCCTCTATGGATTCAGAGCCACTTGCAGCCTAGAATCATAGAACTCTAGAGTTGGAAGAGACCTCATGGGCCATCCAGTCCAACCCCCTGCCAAGAAGCAGGAATATTGCATTCAAAGCACCCACGACAGATGGCCATCCAGCCTCTGCTTAAAAGCCTCCAAAGAAGGAGCCTCCACCATGCTCAGGGGCAGAGAGTTCCACTGCTGAACAGCTCTCACAGGAAGTTCTTCCTAATGTTCAGATAGAATCTTCTTTCCTGTAGTTTGAAGCCATTCAAAGCACCCCTGACAGATGGCCATCCAGCCTCTGATTAAAAGCCTCCAAAGAAGGAGCCTCCCACACTCCGGGGCAGAGAGTTCCACTGCTCAACAGCTCTCACAGTCAGGAAGTTCTTCCTCATGTCCAGGTGGAATCTCCTTTCCTGTAGTTTGAAACCATTCAAAGCACCCTTGACAGATGGCCATCCAGACTCTGTTTAAAAGCCTCCAAAGAAAGTGCCTCTACCACACTCCAGGGCAGAGAGTTCCACTGCTGAACAGCTCTCACAATCAGGAAGTTCTTCCTAATATTCAGGTGGAATCTCCTTTCTTGTAGTTTGAAGCCATTGTTCCACATCCTAGTCTCCAAGGAAGCAGAAAACAAGGTTGCTCCCTCCTCTCTGTGGCTTCCTCTCACGTATTTATACATGGCACTCATCACGTCTTCTCTCAGCCTTCTCTTCTGCAGGCTAAGCATGCCCAGGTCTTTAAGCCGCTCCTCATAGGGTTTGTTCTCCAGACACTTGATCATTTTAGTCGCTTCTTTCTCTTGTCAATATCTTTCCAACTTGTCAATATCTCTCTTCAATTGTGGTGCCCAGAATTGGACACAATTTTTATTTTTATTATAATAATAATAATAATAATTATTATTATTATTCCAGGTGTGGTCTGACCAAGGCAGAATAGAGGGATAGCATGACTTCCCTGGATCTAGACACTAGACTCCTATGTATGCAGGTTATATTATTTTACAACCATAACCTCCCCATAACAATTGCATGCAAAGGATGGATCACATCCAGATTGTAATTTTCCTGTTGTGCAACAATGTGTACATGTTGCCCACAATGTTTCGTATTGGTTTCGCTTCTCTGTTGATTCCCATTCAAACAGAAATAATTATTAAGACTCACAAGCATCAACACTGTCAAATTAAATGTGGTTTGGTGCCACTTTAACTGCCCTGGCTAGGAGCCCCAGTGGCGCAGTGGGTTAAACCCCTGTGCCGGCAGGACTGAAGACCAACAGGTCGCAGGTTCGAATCTGGGGAGAGGCAGATGAGCTCCCTCTATCAGCTCCAGCTCCTCATGAAGGGACATGAGAGAAGCCTCCCACGAGGATGATAAAAACATCAAATCATCCGGGCATCCTCTGGGCAACGTCCTTGCAGATAGCCAATTCTCTCATACCAAAAGCGACTTGCAGTTTCTCAAGTTGCTCCTGACACAATTAAAAAAAAACTTGCCCTGGCTGAACGCTCAATGGGATTTCTAGTTTTGTGAGAGACGGACCAGGTCTCTTTAGCTTTGAAGGCTCAAGGCCTTGTTAAACTACAGCTCCCATGGTTCCATAGGATGGAAGCATGGCAGTTAAAATATCGCTACCCTAAACCAAAGGGATCTTGTCCTTTCCTTAGGCGATCCCTCGTAGCTCGAGGATGATGGTCTTCCAGATGTGGTGTCTTGGCGGTGGTTCGTAGGTAGCTGTGGAGCCCTATTCTTGATCCTCATCTTCTCCCGCAGTGAGGACATTGGTTTCCAGATGGAAGGCGGTCCTGGTTTGGGTTGGCTTGATGCGTCTTCCTCTTGGCACGTTTCTCCCTTTCACCTTCCATTCGTGCCTCTTCAAATTCTGCACTGCTGGTCACAGCTGACCTCCAGATAGAGCGCTCACAGGTCAGGGCTTCCCAGTTCTCGGTGTCTATGCCACAGTTTTTGAGGATGGCTTTAAGCTCATCTTTAAATCTCTTTTCCTGTCCACCAACATTACGATTCCCGTTCTTGAGTTGGGAGTATAGTAACTGCTTTGGGAGATGGTAATCGGGCATTCAAACAACGTGGCTGGTCCAGTGGATTTGATGGCGGAGAAGCATCGCTTCAATGTTGGTGGTCTTTGCTTCTTCCAGCATGCTGATATTTGTCCGCTTGTCTTCCCAAGAGATTTGCAGGATTTTACGAAGGCAGCGCTGATGGAATCATGCCAGGAGTTGGGTGTGGCATCTGTAGACAGTCCACGTCTCGCAGGCGTATAGCAGGGTTGGGAGGACAATACCTTTATAAGCAACCACCTTGGTCTCCCTACGGATGTCCCAGTCCTCAAACACTCTCTGCTTCCTTCAGAAGGATGCTGCACTTGCATAGGTAGCATAGTACCTTTGAGACTAAATGAGAGAAAGAAGTAACTTTATAGCTACCAGATCTCTTTGCATGCTGATCATGATCTAGGAACGTTCCAATAGCTTTGCACGCTGTGCAACTGAAATACTGGCATAAGTTGAGTGTTGTTGAAAGTTTCTCTGCTACAACTGGCTTGCTGTGAGTTTTCCGGGCTGTCTGGCAATGTTCCAGAAGCATTCTCTCCTGACATGTCTCCCACATCTATGGCAGACATCCTCAGAGGTTGTGAGGTCTGTTGGAAACAAGGCAAGTGAGGTTTAGATATCTGTGGAATGTCCAGGGTGGGAAACAGAACTCTTGTCTGCTTGAGACAAGTATGACAAAACACCCGGAGGGCCAAAAGTTGACCATGGCTGCTTTTTTTTTTTCATGTAAGGAGCTACTTGAGAAACTGCAAGTTGCTTCTGGTTTGAGAAAATTGGCCATCTGCAAGGACATTGTCCAGAGGATACCCGGATGCTTTGATGTTTACCATTCTTGTGGGAGGCTTCTCTCATGTCCCCGCATGGGGAGCTGGAGCTGACAAAGGGAGCTCTCCCTGGATTCAAACCTCCGACCTGTCAATCTTCAGTGCTGCTGGGAGAAGGGTTTAACCCATTGTGCCATCGGGGCCTCCCCCATGCCTGCTATCAACCTACTTTGGATGCAGTGCAATGTGTTAATAAATGAGCAAATTAACTGTATTAGGGTGTGTCTGCATTATAGAATTAATGTAGTTTGATACCATTTTAACTGTCATGGCTCAGTGCTATGGAGTCATGGGAGCTGTAGTTTGGTGAGAGAGAGAAGTCTAAAGACCTTTAAAACTTCCAACTCCCATAATTCCATAGCATTGAGCCATGGAAGGTATGGTGTTGTTAAGTTACATTAACTCTACAGCGTAGACCAGTCAGGAGCAAACTTGGGCCTTCTAGGTGTTTTGGACTTCAATTCCAACAATTCCCAACAGCCTGGCTGTTAAAAAGTGTGGGAATTGAAGTCCAAAACACTGGAGGGCCCAAGTTTGCCCATGCAAGGCGTAGGTGCACCCTAGAAGGTGCTGCCACATTTCTTACTAGAGAGATAAAGGACAGTGACAGATGAGAATTCACTCTGCCATCCTTTTCTGAAATTCCTGGCTGCTCAGCAGACTATGCTCAGCCTCAGCGTGATTGTGCTTCTCCTTGCAGATGCTGCCAGTCGACCTCCATGGGGAGCTGCCCTGAGGGACCCCAAGGTCCTGCACCCCCTGACCGTTGACATGGGCTTGATAGCCCTCTTCATCCTGCAGCACAGCCTTATGGCCACTGACCGCGTGAAACGCTGGACCAACAGCTGCTTTGGAGTCCTACAGAGATCCTTCTATGTCTTTTGCACAGCTCTGGCCCTCCAGGTATGTTTGGGGTGGCAAAGAAGCTGCTAGTGAGTTTTGCCTTGTCAAAAAGATATATGTACGCTTGAGTTGCAGAAAAACCTCACCGGAAAGTGTGATTTTGATTTGGCAAACTGCACCTAACTAGGAGCGAGTCCCAGGTACATTGCCAAGGCAAACTCTGCAGCTCCAGCTTCAGTCTTTTGCTCCTGGCTCCAATGCTGTCCTCATGAGTTTAATTAGTCAAAACTAAGCTTCTGTTAGAGGAGTGGAGAGAGGGTTCAAAATCTATATAAATAAAAATGTAATGTCCGTTTGTGGGATTCACAGAACTCAAAAACCACTGGAGGAATTGATACCAAATTTGGGACCAAGACACCTAACAACCCAATGTATGTCCTTCACTCAAAAAAAAATGATTTTGTCATTTGGGAATTGTAGTTGCTGGGATTTATAGTACACTTACAATCAAAGAGCATTCTGAACCCCACCAGTGATGGAATTGAACCAAACTTGGCACACAGTTCTCCCGTGACCAACAGAAAATACTGGAAAGGTTTGGTGGGCAGTGTCCTTTGGTTTTGGAGTTGTAGTTCACCTACATCCAGAGAGCACTGTGGACTCAAACAGTGATGGATCTGGACCAAACTCTACACGAATACTCAATATGCCCAAATGTGAACACTGGTGGAGTTTGGGGGAAATAGACTCTTGACATTTGGGAGTTGTAGTTGCTGGGATTTATAGTTCACCTACAATCACAGAGCATTCTGAACCCTACCAACGATAGAATTGGGCCAAATCTCCCACACAGAATCCCCATGTGGGCCACAGCAACGCGTGGCAGAGCACGGCTAGCCTATATAAATAAAAATGTAATGTCCGTTTGTGGGATCAACATAACTCAAAAACCACTGGACAAATTGATACCAAATTTGGACTCAAGACGCCTATCAGGCCAACGAGTGACCATCACTCATAAAAACACTGGAAAACACAGCAAAGGGGATTCAAAAAGCCAAAAAAAACCCCCCAAAAAATACATTACAACGCATGTGCAAAACCACATATATGCACACCCAAAATATATATACACAGACTGGGCCACAGCAATGTGTGGCAGGGGATGGCTAGTGAACAATAATGAAGCAAAGTGATTTAGCCAGTGTTTCCAAACTCAACATGTCCAAGAGGTCGGCTTATACTCAAGTATACACGGGTAATTCATTATGTATGAATTGATGTACATTGCCTCTTGAGGATGTCCTGTTTGTTGTTTGTTTGTTTGTGTTGTGTATGCTTGATCCGTGTTTGGAAGGGAGTGTACAATAAACTAAAAAGCAATTACATAAGAAGAAGAGTTCCTAATGCACGTACGGTATATCTTTCTCCCATGTAGTTGCTGATGAGGTACTGGCAGCCAGTCCAGGATGGTCCTGAGCTCTGGAGAACAAGCACCGAGCCTTGGGTCACTTGGGTTCCTCTTATCTGCTTTATCCTACACTTCATTGCCTGGTTGGTCATCTTTAGCATCATCCTCATCTTCGACTATGCAGAACTGATGGGAGTCAAACAGGTAGCTTGTAGTTTTCATTCTATTATCAAAATTAGTGCCGTAGTTCTTCCTGGCTAAATTATCCAAGCAATGAGATATGCATGTTCGCAAGTGGTCTGGCTCATTCTCCATAAGATGATCGTCCAAATGGTCCCTGGTCAAAAAAAGGTTGTAGAACCACTGTTATAGAGGAAATGTTTGTGTGATGGGATTGTATAAGTCCCAGCTCTTTTTGTTGGGCTGCCCCACCTAACAGTCACTTTTCTCTTATTTAAAAAAAAGGCAGAGCTTAAGGAAACCCCTCTTGGTTTGGATCAATAAGTTTGCCTGCCCCTTTTTGCCTGGGGAGCCATCTTTAGTTTGGGGTTATTACCACCAGGGAATTTTGGAAGCAAGATGTGTCTGTAGTTGGTCTCAGTGAGATCCAGGCTTGGACAAGCCATTTCAAACCAATAACTAACTAGCTAAGTAATCTGGTAACTCATCTGGCTATGCTGGCCTTCCTCCTGTCAGTGACAGTCTGTGGAGTTTCCAGCTCCTTCAGAGAGGTTCCAGACTTTAATAGGAGGGACCTGCTCTCTCTACTTCCGGCCTGACCATTTTGGGCATTGGGCACCCTCTACTTTCTCTACCAGAGAAAGTGAGCAAGGGAAACTTTCATCTATCCTTTGTCTCCAGACCAACAACTTCAAGAGCAACCAGTTACCTTCAAACTTTGGACTTTGTTGTGGGGAAATCAAGATAATGCCTGGGTGGAGACAGGCCCAAGACCATTAATAAATCATTATCGTTTCTTGAAAGCAATACTGTGGACGTTGATTCTGTGGGGTTCCTTGCTCAAACAGGAAGGCAATCCAGCATCCCCCAAGCTCTGTAGTGGCTCCCTGTCTCTGGAATACCCTCCCAAAAGAGATTAGGCTAGCCTGATCCTGCCTAAAAATATGGATTTTTAAGCAGGCTTTTGGCCTCAAGTAAGCTGAAATGGGCCCATATGAGATTGACAATTTGGCACTTTAGTTGTGATTTGAAGGCAGGTAGTTTTAATGACAGATGGTCTGCATTTTAAACTGAGTTTTTATTTTATTTTATGTGTTGATAGTGGTTGATTTTATGACTTTCATGTGATACCGTTTTTTTACTCACGTACCGTTTGTTAAATACTAGACTTGCAGTGCCTTGTAAGCCACTCCGAGTCCCTTTTGGGAGATGATGACAGGATATAAATAAAGTTTATTATTATTTGAAACACAATAAGATGAGTCCACAGCAAACAAGATCACTCCGCTGGCTGTTGTATTGGATCACATGTCGGACACTTCCCAAGTGTCTAGGACTGTGTGATGTACCGGCGAATAATGCGTGTGGATCCCAGTAAGGTGACCTTTTGCAGATGGTAATTTTGTCAGAGCTGATTGTGTTTAAGTGCAGGCCAGGTCTTTAAGCACTGCACCCAGTGTGCCGATCACCACTGATCTCCTGTCATTCCACAGGTTTATTACCACTGTTTGGGCATGGGTGATCCTTTGGCGGTGAAGTCCTCCCGGGCTGTCCGCCTTTATGCCCACCTTCGCCACCCTGTCTACCTGGAGTTCCTCCTCATCCTCTGGGCCGTTCCCTGTCTCTCTCTCGACCGACTTCTACTGGCCTTGCTCTTCACCCTTTACTTGACCTGCGCCCACAGCCTTGACAAGCAAGACTACCTTTATCTCCGAGCTCAGCTGGACAAGAAGTTCCAGATCTTCTCCCGCGAAGAGGCGGCCCATGGCACCTTGCTGGCACAGAACGGCCCTTCGGTCCATAAAGACAACTGAATGGGGTGGGTCTGTGGGGAGACAGCCCTAGTGTTGGCCTCCCGGGGCTTGTTGCTCTTTGACCTCGCATGCAAAGCACTGAATAATGCACTATGTCTTACCTTCTTCCCCCTTTTGTGCACTCAGGATTTCATGGCCTAAGAAAACAACCCAAACAGTTGTGGCTTCCCAGGTGCCCAGCCCCTTTTATGACTCACTCAGAATATGTACGTATGCAAAGTTTGAGCATTTGTATCCACACTGAAGCATAGGAGGTAGATGCCCACACCATGGCAGGGGGCACTTTAGAAATGGCTATTAAAATCTTGGAAGGAGCCATTGGAAAACTATGGAGGACATGTTGGGACCAGAGAATTTTACCTTCCCAAGGAAGGATAAAGAGAGCTTTTGAGGACAGATAGGATTGCTTCTTTTTTTTGCTGGGTGGCTCTTTTGCATTGGAAAGTTGCTAAACAAACAAAAGTCTTCTCCGTTCCTAGCAAAGTGCTGATTGTTTACAGCACAGCAACTTTTGCAGCATGAGAAAGAAAAGCAAAAAAAAGAACTAAATTTGGATCTTCTCCAATCTTGAGAACTGAAGTGTTCCATTTCAGCCTGAGAGAGCTCATTTTAATTCATAGATAACATGGCTTTTTTTAAACGCTGAAGCACTCTTTTATATTCTAATAAACTTTTACTACGTTTTTACTGCAGGGATTACGCCAAAATGATTTTTAAAGCATGGGATTTTAACTGATAACAATCAACCATTCCTTTAAATATAGATATATATGTATAGAGAGAGAGAACACGCAGGGTTAGATAATTGGATTTGAAGGGTGTTTTTGTATCCTCCCTGTAAATATATTTCTTCTAATATGGTTCCTCAAATGCATGGTGCTTGGCAAATATAGAGTTAATCACTCAGTCTGAGTTTTCCGGGGTGTATGGCCATATTCCAGAAGCATTCTCTCCTGATGTTTTGCCCACAACTATGGCAAGTATCTTCAGAGGTTGAAGGGTCTGTTGGAAACTAGGCAAGTGGGGTTTATATATCTGTGAAATATCCAGGGTGGGAAAAAGAACTCTTGTCTGTTTGAAGCGGGTGTGAATGTTGCAATTGGTCACCTTGATTAGCATTGAATGGCCTTGCAGTTACAAAGTCTGGCTGCTTCCTGCCTGGAAGTAATCTGGCTGCAGCCCATTGGACTAGTTTGAGTTTTCAAACTGTCTTCAAAGGCAACCCCACATAGAGTGCGTTGCAGTAATCTATTTCGGATGTAACAAGAGCATGGACCACCGTAGCCAGATCAGACTTTCCAACAGACCTCAGAGGATGTCTGCCATAGATGCAGGTGAAACGTCAGGAGAGAATACTTCTAGAGTAGTGGTTCTCAACCTGTGGGTCCCTAGGTGTTTTGGCCTACAATTCCCAGAAATCCCAGGCAGTTTACCAGCTGTTGGGATTTCTGGAAGTTGAAGGCCAAAACATCTGGGGACCTATAGGTTGAGAACCACTGTTCTAGAGCATGGCCAGACAGCCCGAAAAACCTACAACAACCCAACATCTTTAAAGTTCAATGTAAGACTCAGAATGGATGTACAGTCAGCCCCACGCATTCACTGGGGTTAGGGTTAGGCACAGGACTCCCTATGTAAGTGTAAAACCGCAAATATAGAAATTGCTATGTTTTTAACTTGGGGAAACACCTCTCTAGCAATTTATCACAATTCTATGATTACTTCTGCTGAAAGTTGACCATAGAATTGCATTGGAGCAGCTAGGGATTCCTAGACAAGTGTTCCCATAGAATCATAGAATTCAATTATAGAATCACAGAGCTGGAAGAGACCGCAAGGGCCACCCAGTCCAACCCCCTTCTCTTGATATCTCTAGGTCCTCCAAAGTGACTGGAGGAAGTTGACCATACAGTGTTCCCTCGCTACTTCACGGTTTACTTTTCGTGGACTGGCTGTTTCATGGGTTTTTGCCTCCTGGCAACAATGGAGTGTGGAAGGGGCTTTTACCTTCCCCCTCAGGAGAGAGGCAGCCAATCATTAAAAAAAAGAGAGAGAGGAGATACAAAGCAGTATGTAAATCATGGCCTTATAGCCCCTTTCTTATAGCTAGCAAAAAAGAAAAGGTGTGCAGTGCCTTTAAACCTCTCCTTGCTTCTGCCTCACCCTTGGAATGCAATATATAGATAGGTATAGATATAGAGCACCCCAACTTCACAGATTTTCACTTTTTTCAGGTGGTCCTGGAACGTAACACCCGCGATAAGTAAGGGAACACTATAGTCTCACTGGATGACCTAAATTCTTAGAACATTTTAAATCATACCCATAAATGATCAAAGCTGCAAAAGTCAAAACTGCAAATATAGAGGAATGACAGGGACTTGGACTCACCAGCCACCACTGCTCTGTTCAGAATTCCTTTCAGGATCTAGACCTGGAAAACCTTTCTATGTTAGAATCATGGTTGCAGCTGGGCTGTGCCTAGCTATGGAAGACAATGTCAGCCTTAATTTATGACCCAATGCCTTCAACATCCACCAGTATGTGTTCTCTTTCAATCTGGCATGCTTTTATTACAGCTTTAAAACATGTAACCCAATGCCAATAAAACTTTTTTTAAAAAAAAATGTTTTGGGTTGAGTCTTGTGTTATGAAATGATTGTCTATAAACCTCTGCTACTTTTCAGTTTGCTCTATTCTGCATTCAAATTTGAGTATGAGTTAGCTATAGACGATGCCCGATTGTTGACTTTTGGAATCTCCAGTCAGCATGATAGGAGCTGTAGTCTAGCCATCTCAGTGAAGAGGCACAAGTTCTCTTCCCCTGTTCTCAAACCTTCATGGGGTTTATGTTCTTGAAACAATGGTAATAAGCAACCAGACACAAAGCTGACCCTAATTCAGTGTTTCTCAACCTGGGGATCAGGGCCCCTGGGGGGTCCCGAGGGGGTGTCAGAGAGGTCATAAAAGACCATCAGGAAACACAGTATTTTCTGTTGGTCATGGGGGTTCTGTGTGGGAAGTTTGACCCAATACTATCATTGGTGGGGTTCAAGGAGCTCTTTGATTGTAGGTGAACTGTAAATCCCAGCAACTACAACTCCCAAATGTCAAGGTCTATTTCCCCCAAACTCTACCAGTGTTTAAATTAGAGCATATTGAGTATTTGTGCCAAGTTTGGTCCAGATCTATCATTGTTTGAGTCCACAGTGCTCTCTGTATGTAGGTGAACTACAACTCCAAAACTCAAGGTCAGTGCCCACCAAACCTTTCCAGTATTTTCTCTTGGTCATGAGAGTTCTGTGTGCCAAGTTTGGTTGAATTCCATCATTTGTGGAGCTCAAAATGTTCTTTGATTGTAGGTGAGCTATAAATCCCAGCAACTACAGCTCCCAAATAACAAAATCATCCCCCCCTAATCCCACCAAATTTGGGTGTATCGGGTACTTGTACCCCACCAGTATTCAAACTTGGGTGTATTGAGTATATGTGTCAAATTTGGTCCAGTGAATGAAAATATATCCTGCATATCAGATATTCCATTACGATTCATAATAGTAGCAAAATTAGTTATGAAGTAGCAAGGAAAATAATTTTATGGTTGGAGGTCACCACAACATGAGGAACTGTATTAAGAGGTCACGGCATTAGGAAGGTTGAGATACACTGCTCTAGGCAACATTCAAAGGTCAGGTTGCAGCACAGTTTCCCTAAAATGTGTAAAAAATGGAATTGTTCTGTACTTCTGTTGTGGTTCTTAAGAGTTTGTAGATCCCATGCCATCTATTTCTCAGGGCCCATCCCTCAAAAGGCCCCCACAGTCAATAGTATCAGCTTTGTTATGAAGTCTCGTTACTTGTGCACAAGGATGGTGATAGGGAGAATAGGTTTCTGCACTCCTCTTCCAAATATATTCTCAAGACAAAGGGGGACCTCATCAGGTTTTGGAAACAGTATATCACAAATATATTTCTTAAAACCTTAAGGCTATGGCAAGTCTGCAAGCTTGCAGTAGCACAGCAGCTAAAACTGCTAGCTGCAGCAAAAAAGCTGCTGACCAGAGGGTTAGCAGTTTGAAGCTGCAAGTCAGGGTGAGCTCCTGACTGTCAGCCCTAGCTTCTGCCTACCTAGCAGTTTGAAAGCATGCAATGCAAGTAGATCAATAGGTACCGTCTCGGCGGAAAGGTAAAATGGGTTGGTGCTCATCTCCATTTCTAAGCCAAAGAGCCACCTTTGTCTGTAGACCAGCATGACTGCATGGAACATCGTTACCTTTCCGTCAAAGCGGTACCTATTGATCTACTCACATTTGTATGTTTTCAAACTACTAGGTTTATTTATTTATTTATTTACAGTATTTGTTTACCGCTTTTCTCACCCTGAGGGGGACTCAAAGGTTGGCAGAAGCTGGGCCTAACAGAGGTCACCCTGCTCCTTGGATTTGAATCACTGACCTTTTGGTCAGTAAGTTCAGCAGCTCAGTGGTTTAACCTGCTGTGCCACCACAGGCTCCAAATATTTATTGAAAATAAATTGGCATTTGCAATGCTTGCCAAATAGGCTAATTTCTCTTTCTATGGAGTATAGCTGAAGCATTTTCTACAGAGTCCACTGTAAACACTGCACATTTTTGCTGACAGAGTTCTGTAAGTGAGTAGCATCTTGTTGCCAATTTTTTTATGACCCCAATATTGAGCTAAGGGTTTGGGGTTGGGACCCATAGTTTAAGAATCCGTGCATTAGAGGAAGTATCACAGTGGGATAACATAACATGAATTCCTTTTTGACAAAATGATGCCATAACCTTTTGAAAAATGTGAATCTCCATAACCATTTGAGAAATGGGATTCATAACCTTTTTTGAATAAAACACTGGTCACATGACCTTGTTAAAAGTCACAACCTTTAGAAAAATGAACCCTTTATTGTTGCCAATTTTTTCATGACCCCAACATTGCGCTAAGGGTTTGGTGTATGGCTACATTCCAGAAGCATTCTCTCCTGGTGTTTGCCCACATCTATGGCAAGCATCCTCAGAGGTTGAGAGGTAAATAATAAGGGGTAATCCCCTCAACCTGCCATAGATGTGAAAAGTCAGGAGTGCATGCTTCTGGAACATAGCCATACAGCCCGGAAAACTCACAGCAACCCAGCGACTCCAGCCATGAGAGCCTTCAACACACAGAATAGTTATACTCCAAAAAAATCTGGAGGGCATTGGGTTGCCCCATCTAGTATTCAGGATACATTTCAGATGCTAGGGCCAAAGTTAAGAGAGTGGCTCAAAACTTCATATTCTTTTCAAGGATTTTCCAGAATCGCCTGTGAAGTCACTGTTAAAAGTTAACATGCAGATACCCATGCCTCTTCACAGCCATGGAGACTGGTCAGGAAATAAACATCACCTTTATTGATATACATTGGCTCTGGGTTTTGGGCATTCACGCAGGGTGGTCGGTTGGGACGGGGTAGGAGCAGAGGGCCACCCACTCAGTCTAGCCAGCAAGGGAAGCTGCTAACATTCATCTTCCCCAAGCAAAGCAAACAAGTTCCGGCCGGCCAACTGCTTCCCTTTCCTGGAAGGAAAAGGTTGGCTGGGACCACTCTTGGGTGCAGAGAGCATCTCCTCTTCTTCCTCGGCTTCTTCGTCAGCATCTCGGTCTTTCTCCTCATCCTCTTCTTCTCCGGAGCTGGAAATTTCATCTTCCTCCTCCTCTCCTTCAGCCTCTTCTTCCTCACCAGAGCTGCGCCGACCATTATGGCCATGAGCTTCCTGCAAGGCGGCAATCTCAGTGGTCTCAATGTGATGCTCCCACATGGCTGCAGGGAATAAAAAGGGGGCCGTCAATATCACATTCCCCACCTAGTCTAAAACAGTACTATTCAAAGTGATCATCAAAAGTATGTCAGTTTCTGTGTTTTGGGTTATGTAGTAGATTTCCAAAATGTGTTTTAATGCTCTAAGCATGTGGATGTAATAATGTTCAGCAAGGATACTATTAAGGAACCACTGAGTTATGTATGAATCCTAGAAAGGTATATGTGTGTGTTAATTCCTGCTTCCTGTATGTGACGTATAATGCCTTGTATGGAATGTGAGTAGGCGTGTTCTACTGAGTGTGAAGAAGAAGCCAAGAAACCATTACTGAGTTGTCTTTTGCCGCGGGCAGATGCTACCATGCAACTCTGTTATGTATATAGTCTGTAAATAAAGCTAATTAGTTTATTGCTTTATGGCTGTGTGTCGGAGCAGTTTTATCGCCTCGTGAACCAACAATCAACAAAGTACAATGCCAAAAAGGGGATGTCTTGGAAAGGTTGCTTTTTTGGATCAGAAATCCCAGTGGCCATTCCAGCTGGACAATTCTGGGACAGGCTGAGGAATATAGGCCCTCCTGCATGTTTTCATCAAAGGGAGCAAGACATGTAAAAGTATCTCTCTTACTCATCTCACTAGGAGAGGAAAATCATAGAGAAGGTGATAGTCCTTATAATCTTAAGTACCGTATATACTTGAGTGTAAGCCGGCCCAGATATAAGCCGAAGCACCTAATTTTACCACAAAAAACTGGGCAAACTTACTGACTTTGAGTATAAGCTGAGGGTGGAAAATGCAGCAGATACTGGTAAATTTCAAAATAAAAATAGATTCCAATAGAATTACATTAATTGAGGCAGTAGGTTAAACGTTTTTGAATATTTACATAAAACTTTAAATGAAGTTAAGACTGTCCAGCTCTGATTAAACCATTATTCTAACCTTCTCAATGGAAATGTGCTTATGTATCCTTCCAATAATAATAGAGTAAAATAATAAATGTAATAAAAATAAAAGTAAAATAATGGAAATGTAATAATAACAGTAATAATAGAGTAAAATAATATATATAATAGAGTAAAATAATAAATGTAATAACAATAGTAATAAAGTAAAATAATAAATATAATAATCGAGTAAAATAATAAATGTAATAGTAATAATAATAATGTCCAGATTTGCACACATTATTCTCAAAATACATCACACAATCCAAGACAGTTGGATAGTGTCTGACATGCAATCCAATACAAAAGCCAGCATAGTGATCTTGTTTGCTGTATGTTACTCTTGTTGTGTATCAAATAATAAATGTAATAATGACAATAATAGAGTAAAATAATAAATATAATAATAATAGGGTGAAATAATGTAAATGTAATAATAATAATAATAATAATAAATAGAGTAAAATAATAAAAGTAATAATGACAATAATAACAGAGTAAAATGATAAATGTAATAATAATAGAGTAAAATAATGTAAATGTAATAATAATAATAATAATAATAATAATAATAATAATAATAGAGTAAAATAATAAATGTAATAAAACCAAAATAATAACAGAATAAAATAATAAATAACCTTGACTCAAGTATAAGCCGAGGGGGGCTTTTCAGCCTAAAAAAAGGGCTGAAAAAGTCAGCTTATACTCGAGTATATACTGTACAATAATACAAGTTTTAAAAGTGGGACCCAGTTGTCAAATTGTGCCCCCAAAGATATCCAAGTGAAGAGAATGATAATAAGACTGCTAACAAATCCAGGTTTCCAGCACCCAACCTGATGTCCCACATGAGTTATATGTTTTCTCCCTGCACAACCCCAGTCTGATCCTCTTCCTACTTTGGATGCCTACCTTTGTGTGCAGTGTAGCCTGGAGGCCGCATGCAGACGCAGAGACGACCATCCACCGCTAGGCGGAGAAGGCTGTTGGCAGCTCGGTAGACATCGTTGCGGGCTCCCCTGGCCGTCTTGTAGCCTCGTTTCTCGGCCCAGGCTAAAAGGAGAGCAAAAAAGGCGTAAAGAGCAATACTGAACCCAGTCTGCAGCCCAGACTGAACTTCTTGCTGCATTGCAGTGCATCACCCATCTCCAGCACCGGCAGCTCTTTTACCTTCACAAACATCCCAGGCACACCATGGGGGCTCAGGTTTGCCATGCTCGGCATCCGGATGCCGCAGCTTGAGCAAGGCCTGGATTGGGATTCGGCTGGCCAGGTAACCCACAGAAGTGTAGGGCTCCTGGATCTGTGAGATTGGGTAGATACCAGACAGGATCTAAAAAGAACATAATAGAAAGGACATGTCAATTACTGGAGCTGCAGACTTCATCAATCATCTGGTGGATGGCAAACTAAAAAAACAGTTGCTGGGATCTGTAGTACTATATCTAGAGCAGTGGCTCTCAACCTGGTGTTTTGGCCTACAACTCCCAGGAATTCTAACCAGTTTACCAGCTGTAAGGATTTCTGGGAGTTGAAGGCCAAAACATCTGGAGACCCAGAGGTTGAGAACCACTGATTTAAAGATCTGGGTGACTTCCATCCCCAAAATAATTAAAGGATGGGAATCCTGAGGCCAAATGCTGTGGCGCTATAATTTCCACCCTAATGCTAGCTAGAGCTCCTGGGAATTGCAGCCGAGTGGGACATTGAGAGGAAAATATAATTCCCACCCTGCTCTACATGAACACTGTCTACATCAGTGGTTCTCAACCTGTGGGTCCCCACGCGTTTTGGCCTACAACTCCCAGAAATCCCAGCCAGTTTACCAGCTGTTAGGATTTCTGGGAGTTGAAGGCCAAAAACATCTGGGGACCCACAGGTTGAGAACCACTGGTTTACATTATACCCAGTAATGGTAAAGGTTTCCTGGTGGCTTTAAGTCTAGTTGTGTCAGACTCTGGGGGGTGGTGCTCATCTCCATTTCTAAGCCGAAGAGCCAGCATTGTCCATAGACACCTCCAAGGTCATGTGGCCAGCATTACTCCATGGAGCGCCATTATCTTCCCATAAAAGTCGTACCTATTGATCTACTCACACTTGCATGTTTTTGAACTGCTAGGTTGGTAGAAGTTGGGGCTAAATAACGAGAGCTCACCCCACTCTCTGGATTCGATTCACCGACCTAGTTCAGCAGATCAGCAGTTTAATCTGCTGCACCACCAGAGGACTCTATTATACCCAGAGAGAGTCCAATATTTATTTCCACTACTGAGGAGAAACTGGATATCTATTTTTGTATTCGACCTCCTTTTTATTCCACCCTGGTTCCCAAAAGAGAGTTCTTTGCAGGAACACCCATCTCCTACATCTTGGTTCATTCTCTGCTTTGCCTTAATAATAAGCCGTACTATAGTATTCACACTTGCCTCAAACAGACAAGAGTTCTTTCTCCCGCCCTAGACATTCAACAGAAATATAAACCCCACTTGCCTTGTTTCCAACAGACCCCTCAACCTCTGAGGATGCCTGCCATAGATGTGGGTGAAACGTTAGGAGAGAATGCTTCTAGAACATGGCCATACAACCCGGAAAACTCACAGCAACCCAGTGATTCTGGCCACTAAAGGCTTCGACAACACTATTGCAGAAGTTTACCTGCTGCTTTCTGTCAACCAAGGAGGGAAAGATGAGTCCAGGGCAGTCACACAGTTTGACTGTGGGCGTCAGGAAGTAGGTCTGGAAGTACTTAGTATGGCCTGGCGTGCGGGAGACGCTCACCACTTTGTGGCCCACAAGCCCATTTATGAGCGAGGACTTGCCTACGTTGGGGAAACCTGGAAGGAGGAATCAACAGGATGGAGTCAACATTCAGAAAAGATCAATCACAGCCACCCTCTGGATGTAATATTTCTCTCGCTTAAATGCTACTATCTATCAAAGCCACTTTTCTGCATCTAAGCAAGACGAGAAAGCCTACGAGTACATGATTTGATGATTAATTATGCTACCACTTTCATAGACAGGGTACCTCATGGAGTTAAACAGGTAATGCAGGTTAGTTTCCACATGTAAGGAGCTTTGAAGGATAAAGAGGGAAAGGAAAATATTTATTTATTTATGACATTTATATGCCATCCTTCTCATCCCAAAGGGGACTCAGAGCGGCTTACAAGTTATATGTACTTACAATATATTATATTATTAACATAGCACAATATTAGTATTATATATTACTATTTTGTACTATACCACTATACTGTAATATTATTAGTAATATTACATGTAATGTGAAATATAAAAGTATTATACTGCCTTATTAGTATTATATTGTATTACATTATAATATTAACAATAATTTATGTACATACAATATATTATATTATTAGCACAGAACAATATTAGTATTATATTTTAATATATTGCACAATACCACTATACTGTAATATTCTTAGTAATATTACATGGTATATTAAATATAAAATTACTATATTGTATTATTATTAGTATTATATTGTAATAAGTTATAATATTAACAATAATGTATGTGTATACAATATATTATATTTTAGCACAGCACAATATTAGTATTATATTTTACTATATTGTACTATACCACTATACAGTAATATTGTTAGTAATATTACATGTAATGTGAAATATAAAATTATTATATTCTATTATTATTAGTATTATATTGTATTACATTATAATATTAACAATAATTTATGTGTATGCAATATATTATATTTTTAGCACAGCACAATATTAGTATTATATTTTACTATATTGTACTATACCACTATACTGTAATATTATTAGTAATATTACATGTAATATGAAATATAAAATTATTATATTCTATTACTATTAATATTATATTGTATTTCATTATAATATTATCCATATTATATGTGTATGCAATATATTATAATATCGGCAAAGCACAATATTAGTATTATACATTACTTTATAAATATGGTCAAATCCCAGAATCTCTAAAAAAAGGTGTAAGAAATGTTTAACTCTAGAGTACATACAGCCATGGTGATTAATGCTGGGAGATCTAGTTCAATATTTGGAGCGATACATGACTTCCAGCTCTGATTTAAAAGTTTGGTTCTATGCACAAAGTTGTTTCACATAAGGCTTAATTTTCAGACCTTGACCATCCTCACTGCCCTTCTCTAAACACGTTCCAGCTTGACAATCCTTCTGAAACTGTAGTGCTCAGAATCACATAATATTGCAAGTAGTAGCTGAACAAAGCAGGATAGAGTGTCGCTACTACTTCCCTTGTTCTGGACGCATATCTTGCAACTCTTTTGTTAATGAAGCCTAGCACTGCATTGACTTTTTTGGCCACTAAATCACATTGGTGACTCGTGTTTCGCTTGGTTCCTGGGGCTCTTCAGACACGCTGAACTCTAAATTGCAGCATAATACAGTAATAATAATAAATCTTTATTTATATCCCGCTTTTCTCCCTAATGGGACTCAACGCGGCTAGAAACAAAACAATTACAACATAATGGGAGTTGTAGTAATTACATATTGGGGATGTAACATTTGGGAAAGGATGACTGTTGTTGTTTTCCCTCTCTCATTTTCCTAAATAGCTAACAGCTTGCACTAAGTACACCTAAGCTCATCAAAATCCATAGTCTTTAAAAGCCAGACACAGGCTTAACCTCCAAGGTTCTTCTGAAAACGAGGAGGAAAGCAAATATTTTAAAAAATGCAATATGAGTGGCTCACAAGCAGGTCTACGTAATGTTTTTAATATTAAGATGCTGCTGGAATGGAAACAAAAATACTTCAATTTTCTCCAGTCGAAGCAAAAAAGTTGAAGGAAAAATTGCTCCTTAAAAATAAGATTACAGGATGTATATGATGTGATGTGAGTGCTTGTGGATCTGAAAATATTATAATAATTCCACTGTTCATGTTATTTATTTCCTCCTCTTTCCTACTGCTCTGAACTGGAACCGCTAATTTCATTTTGTCAGCTGATACAGAAGATATCTGAACAGAGCTATTGTTCTTTTTTAAAACTTCGTCATAGGAGTCAGAGATATTCTACTGCTTCAAAATATCATCTGACTTGGGCTAGACCTACACTGCCATATAAAGCAGTTTAGCGTGATAGAACTGGATTATAAGGCAGTGTAGATTCATATAATACAGCTCAACACAGTTAAACAACATTCAGAAACTGCATTATTTGGCAGTGTAGATCCAGCCTTGGATGGGAGGCTGATTATATATTTTTAAACATGGAGGGAATCAACAATTGCTTTTACCTTCATCCAAAAAGTTCCAAGGACAGCCCAAAATGAAATTAAAAACCATCCCAGTTTCGACCAAATCTAATCAGATTATGTGCAAATTCCTCCCACATTTTGGCTTCAGACTATTCACAGTAATAATAATAATAATAATAATAATAATAATAATAATAATAATAATAACAGCAACAACAACAGCAACAACATTTCTATTCTGCCCTCTCTCCCCAAGGGGACTCAGGGCAGTTTACACATAAGGCAGACATTCAATGCTTAAGTGAGTACAAAACATCAAAAACATATCAAAATACACAATAGAGCACAATAATAACAGTGAGTTTACCAAGAAGCATTGAGATAAAAATATAACAGACTCCAGGCCCCACCCTGATCATCAAATAGGCCATGCTGGCATTTTACCCACTCGTGCCAACCCAGCCCTCTCTTAGTTGTTGAGGCCCACTTTGGAATCTTAGCCATTGGAAGCTGAGCTGCCTAATGTAATAAGTATCGGATTGGTTTAATTTAAATATGTGTGATTGTCATATAGTACTATGTTTACATGGTTATAATGTTTTCGTATGTTTTTATGTTGGTAAGTGCAATGCTTACCATGCTGGAATCCGCCCTGAGTCCTCTTGGGAGACAGAGCAGTATACAAATAAAGGATTATTATTATTATTATTATTATTATTACCACCACCACCACCACCACTACTACTACTACCACAGAATAGTCAGTAAAACATAATTAACTAAAACATAAATAAACATTATAACATATACCCTCAAAAAAGTTTAAATACAGTTAAATTTTAAAAAATGGCCAGTGTTCCTTTAAGACAGTGGTTCGCAATATTTTTTTGACCAGGGACCACTTTGATCAGGGACCACTCTCCAATAGTAGAACCAAAAGAGTTACGAATCAGTTTTTGGGTTGTTGTAGGTTTTTTCGCAGCGACCAAACACGAATCAAGGAACATGAAAGGCACTGCAGGCTACTTCAACCAGAGAAGTCAGCCATAGCAGAGCACCTGATGAACCAGTCTGGACACAGCATATTATTTGAGAACACAGAAATGCTCGACCACTCTCACAACCACCACGTTAGACTACACAGAGAAGCCATTGAAATCCACAAGCATGTGGACAATTTCAACAGAAAGGAAGAGACCATGAAAATGAACAAAATCTGGCTACCAGTATTAAAAAAAACTCTAAAATTAGAACAGCATAACAACAGAGAGGAAACAAACAAGGACATCTAATCACCTCCCAACAAAAGATTGCCCCAGGCACTGCCAGGCCATCAAATGCTAATCAAGGTGGTCAGTTGAAACATTCACACCTAACTCTAACAGACAAGAATCCTTAGTCCTACCTTGGTCATTCCACAGATATATAAACCCTTTTTTCTAGTTCCAACAGATCTCACTACCTCTGAGGATGCTTGCCATAGATGCAGGCAAAACGTCAGGAGAGAATGCCTCTAGAACATGGCCATATAGCCCGAAAAAACCTACAACAACCCAGTGATTCAGGCCATGAAAGCCTTCGACAATACACTGAATCACTTTTTGGTCAACTTTAGATTCGTTTTGGTTATTTTGGGTGCTGATTCAGAAAATTGCATTGGATAGACCAGATCAGCTCTAGTTTCTGATACAGAACATATGCCATCCAGTAGTCACCATCTGCTCACCCACAGAAAACCATATTTAATAATCTAGAGCTGATGTGGTAGTAGTAATGTTTTGTGGGTAGTCAGCCTCTCCCCTCCCGACATCCCCATTGCCTCGGCACTATAAGAGGGCTTTGTGAGACCACCTACTTTCGTTGCCGTGTAGTTTCGAGGCAACGGTGAGGCCGTAGACCATATTTTCATTCTTATGGACCACTGGTGTCCATGGGCCATAGATTGGGAACCATTACTTTCAGATGTACAGACTTCATATTTTTCACTTCCCCCTCCTCCACTACCACAGCTTTGTTTTTTCAAAAGCATGACTATTGTTTTTATCATTCAGCTGGTCCAACAAAGAAAGTTCCAACATGGATTTCAGCAAACACTGACTTATATCTGATGGTTTGTTTGAAACAACGTCCACATCTGGTGGGCCAACTGAATTCTGCACCCAGTTCATTGGCTTGTGCAACTTCTCGGTATGCAACTATTTCACAGTTTTCTTCCAAGAACATTCTGCCTGTTTCGCCATGTTCTAGCATGGGTCCTTCGGGGCCAACATGAAAAAGTGTATTTCTTGAAGTAACCATGATTTAGATAAGGCATGGGCAAAGTTTGGCCCTCCAGGTGATTTGGACTTCAACTCCCACAATTCCTAACAGCCTCAGGCCCTTTCCTTTTCCCCCTCAGCCGCTTAAGCTTTGTTTGTCAGCTCATGGCACAATCCTCACCTACGCAGCCTATCGTCAAGATCCCATCCTTGTAGATTTCCTGGCAGAACCCTCCGGCTTCCATAGCCACATCGGTCTGGTGCTCTACTAGTACCGCCGCGCTTTCGTCATCTTCTTCAGAGTCTTCGGAGTCCTCAAGTGGCAGGCGTGCACTAGTTGCATCCCGCTCAATTTTCTCCTTCCAGCTGCTCAGGTCCACTGGAGGAAAAAAGAGAGTGATGATACACACAAATCATGGCAACAGTGAAAATAACCCACAACTGTCAGGCTTTAGATTTAGGTTTTGAAATGGAAGGCTATGTAAGCTTGTCACTATGGTGCCATTGAGTCAGGCTACACTCATGGCGGAATCCGTCCTGAGTCCCCCTGGGGAGACAGGGCAGAATATCAATGAAGTATTATTATTGTTGTTGTTGTTGTTGTTGTTATTGTTATTCTATTGATGCTGCATTTTGATCTTTGTACCATGTGTTTTGGCGATTGGTGGGGACGAGATACAGGGCATTTTCAGAAGTGGCCCCCCGTCTGTGGAACTCCCTCCCTAAGGACATCAGGTTGGCCACCTCACTTCTGTCCTTTAGAAGACAACTGAAGACCTGGCTCTGGAACCAGGCATTCAACTAGAGGGGGACGGCAATATGAAAGAAAAACTTTTGGACATCCCGATACTGGATTCTCCTGGCTTGGCTTTGGTGTATTGGCATGCTAATGTATTGTTAATGAATTTACTGTTTAATCTGGATAATGTTTTAAATGGATTTATTGTTTTAATTATAATTTTATTGGTATATATGTGGATTGCATCACTGTATGCTCATATAAGGCCGCCCTGAGTCCCCTTGTGGGGAGAAGGGTGGGATAGAAATGTATGTAATAAATAAATAAATGTATTTTATGTTTTTGTGTTTTGACTGTTGTACCCACCTCGAGCTGTAAGGAGAGGCAGATAATAAATGACAACAACATAACAACAACATACCATGATCTGCACCTTCCATCACTATACATTAATATTCCATATTATATACTATAATATTATGATTATTATCCTATGAATGGGAGACCTCTAAGAGACCCTGTTATTATTTATTATTTATTTATTATTTCGAGGTTTTATATACCGACCCTCTCACCTTCAAAGAGGGATTCGGACTGGTTCACAACATGTTCACAACAGGCCTAGTTAGGACTTGCAAATTCAGGGCAGTGGCTTCTTTTTTTTTTTCAAAGAAATTTTATTAAATTTTATAAGACGAATACAACGAAAGAGTAAGAACAATAAAATATTAGAAAGGTGAGAAAGGAGAGAGAGGAAAAAAGAGAAAGGAAATAAGAGGGGATAAAAACTCCCAAAAAAGAAAAAATGGTGGGGAGGGTAAAAAAAATTCCCACATAAAAGAGCAAACAAACAATAACAAAACAGGAAAAAGGACCACACACACATACAAAAAAAGTGACTTCCATTACATCTTCTTGGCAATAGTCTTTCTTTATAAAAAAAAAAACTTCTCAAAGAGAAAAATTGTTCCTCGTATTTATTTTCATTTTTGCAAATTTTCTAGATAGTTATCGAGAGGGTCCCAATTCGTCCTCTTTAAAATATTACCAGGGCACTGGCTTCTTTGACTGAGTCAATCAAAGTAAAAGTAAAAGTTCAACTGAAATAAGTGAGACATACTTCTGGCTTTATGTATTCTGGACCAGAGTTTTATTGGAATGCTTTTACTCTGAATGTGCAGACTAACTGGATGAATATTGTTTCTGAGAACACACAGAGTGTTTCAAGCTTATTATGAGTTTTTGCAGCTCATTTATTACTTATGTGTTTGACTTAGGGGTCCAGCTGTCAAGACCAGAGATGGGAGTGGAGCTCTTCTTGGTAGAAATCAAGGTTTGCTTTGGGGAATGTTGGGGAGAGGGAAGATTTTCTAGCCATAGTGGAATCTGTCAGCACAGAATCTATAGATACAGAAGGTTGACTGCAACATCAAAGCTTGGAATAGTTAGATTGTTTGTTTATAGTTTCCATAACTCTCCAATGGCCATGCTGGCTGGGAAATTTGGAGGGCTTATGGTCCAAAAAAAGTAAGGTCTCCCAAGGTCTGAACATTTGATACAGAGAAGGAGAAAACAGGCATCTCACCTTTGCCAGCTGTGATGCTTTCGCAGGCACTCAAAAGTTGATCAGGCCCCATGGCTGTGCTCCATCCTTTGCGACGCTTCCGGCGCTTCTTAAAGACTGAAAGCAGAGAAAATCCTCTTAAACCACTGCCAGAGGAGCCTATTGTACATTGTATATACTACACCAAGGCCACCAGGTTAAACAGCAGCAGGTTAAACCACTGAGCTGCTGAACTCGCTGACCAAAAGGTCGGTGGTTCAAATCTGGGGAGCTGGGTGAACTCCTACTGTTAGCCCCAGCTTCTGCCAACCTATTAATTCAAAAACATGCAAATGTGAGTAAATCAGTAGGTACTGCTTCTATGGGAAAGTAACGGTGTTCCAAGCAGTCATGCTGGCCACATGACCTTGGAGGTGTCTATGGACAACGCTGGCTCTTCGGCTTAGAAATGGAGATGAGCACCACCTCCCAGAGTCGGACATGACTAGACTTAATGTCAGGGAAAACCTTTACCTTTACCTATGTACTACAACTTATGATATAGTACAATATATTATATAATACTAATAGTTTAATATGCTGATAGTGTATTATATATATTGTGATATGATAATATAGTACAATATAATAATATATAATATGATAATTATATATTATATATTACATTTAATATTACTGATAATATTGTGGGATAATGTGTTACTGTTTTTAATGTAGTTGTGGATTTGTTTTGGGGATTTGGGGGATGGATTATTTTTGTCTTTGTTCAGCTTCTCACGGCATTGAATATTTGCAGATATCTTTTGTAAACCACCTTGAGTCCCCTTGGGGAGATAAGGCGGGATATAATGTAGTTGTTATTATTATTGGTGGTGGTGACTCTCAGGCTGTGAAACTCACTGCTAAAAGGGATGGGATGGTCCCCTCCCATCTTCCCTTCTGTATTGGAACAAGCACTTGGTGTCAAAAGTCCACACCAACAACCACCATGTCAGACTACACAGAGAAGCCATTGAAATCCACAAGCATGTGGACAATTTCAACAGAAAGGAAGAGACCATGAAAATGAACAAAATCTGGCTACCAGTATTAAAAAACTCTAAAATTACAACAGCAAAACAGCAGAGAGGAAACAACCAGGCACATCTTAACACCTCTCAGCAAGAGATTTTCCCAGGCTCAGGCAGGCCTTCAAATGCTAATGAAGGTGGTCAGTTGAAACATTCACATCTAGCTCCAGCAGGGCAGAGCTCGTTGCCCCACCCCAGCCATTCCACAGATATATAAACCCATTGTCCTAATTCCAACAGACCTCACTACCTCTGAGGATGCTTGCCATAGATGCAGGCGAAACGTCAGGAGAAATGCCTCTAGAACATGGCCCTATAGCCCAAAAAAACTCACAAGAACCTGGTGTGTGTGGTATTTGTATTGTCGATATCGTGTTTTAAAATGATTTCATATGGTTTTGAAGTCCTTTTAAAAGTTACTGTTTTTTATAAAGAAAAGGCTTCCATCACCAATCCTTGTTTCTATAAGAAGCATTTTTCAAAATCTTCTCAACAGGGACACAGAGAGCAAAACAAACACCACAGATATATGTGATATATGAGGGTTGAAGGAAAAGTAATGTTTCCACCTTTGTTACTTGGGTTTGGATGGGAATATTTTAAGAAATCAAACGCAGAAATAATCCCTAGAATGTGCTCTTTAACTACCACTATTCAATTTTTTACATAATCACCAGACAATTGGATACATTTCTGCCAACAATGAACAAGTTTTCTGAAGCTGTCACGGAAGAAGTCGATGCTCTGTTTCCGCAACCAGCATCTCACAGTTCTCTCAATGTCTTCATCAGAAGCATAATGATGTCCCTGCATATCTTCTTTCATTATCGGGAACAAAAATGCCGATTATGCTTGAAATTTCTCTCTGAGTGATACGACGATCATCCTGAATCAATCTGTCAAACTTCTGCTTATGAAACTTGGTGGTTGCTGTCACAGGACGTCCAACTCTTTGTTTGTCATGCAAGTCAGATGTTCCCACCTCAACATTTTTAAACTCACTCACCCAGCAATGCACAGTATGGTTGGTCAGCAACGCACAGATGGTTGGTCAATGCGAATCGTGTCACCTCAACATCTTTAAACTTACTTGCCCAACGATGCACAGTGCTCACATCAACACAATCACCATAAACAGCTTGCATTCTCTGATGAATCTCCTTTGGGGTGACACCTTCTGCTGCCAAGAATTCAATGACTGCATGTTGCTTAAGTCACATTGACCGACCGTCTGTGCAGGGTTCCATACTTCGCACTTTAACAACAAAACTATTCAATGCTAAGGCTTCCCGCCAAAATGGAACTGTAGAGGAGAGTCTACTGAACAAGCCAGTACCTGCTGCATACCAGTACTGCCATCTGTCGAGGAGTTATGAAGGTGGAAGCATTACTTTTCATTCAAATATATTTGAATGAAAAGTAATGCGTATATATTTGGCTGGAGTTACACTTAAGAAATGTACCTGTTCTGACTTACATACACATTCAACTTAAGAACAAACCTAAAGAATCTATCTTGTTCGTAACTTGGGGACTGCATTAGGATTTATTTCGTATTTTATTTCAACAAATTGATACGTTTCTGGCTTGCAATCCTTGTTAATCACATGCCTTCATTTCTGACTAATGGTGACCTTAAGGTGAACTTATCACAGGGTTTTTATGGCAAGATTTGCTGAAGGGGTTCCCTTGCCTTCCTCTTGAGATTTGGACAGTGTGACCCAGTGGGTTTCCATGCTTGAGTCCGGATTTGATTCCTGCCCTGCTGCCCGAGTCACAGTTCAACACTCAAAGCACTAGACTACACTAGTTCTTTATGTTGTGAGTCACCTTGGCTCTGTGTGTATGTGTATTATGTGTATCTGTATGTATATATACATATACATATATATATGAAGAAATGGACTGAGAAGCCAGGGTGGTGGAACAAACCATCTAAGCTCTAAAAAAAGAGAAGGACTGGGCATAGGAAAAGAGTGGCCGCAGGCAGCAAATATGAGGTGTCACGCAAGGAAAGGAAATGTTACTTCATTTGTTATTAATGTGTGTTTGGTTTTAGGAAAAGCTCTTATGGGACTTTCTGCATCATGTACCAAAATAACTTGGCTGGCTTTAGATACTATGAAATTTGACCTAGATGGAAGTGAGGCGGCTGCCATGTGCTGCTCTGCCTCAGGCGGCAAAATGCCTTGGCCAGGCTCTGGAGCAGATGGTGACGGAATTATTTAATTTCCTTAGAAAAATAATGTATATCATGATCAGAAGATAGTTTAGCATGAATTAAAACAATAAGGCACATAATTACACATAATAAAACTATTGTGTCATTTTTAAGGGCTAGACAGAAATACTTTTAAAATGTAAGTTATTCAAAAATTTGGGACATGCTAACACACACTCTCTTTCCTATGGACACTTAGCTTACTCATGGAGATGCCTGCAAGATTAGGGTTGCCAGAGTGAAAAGTGAAGAGCTTCCCTGTACCTTTAATGGTTGTGTAACAGAGGGCATTTCAGTAAGGGTTGCTTAACAGACAACTATTAAGGGCACAGGAGCCTTCCCTGGTTTTCATTCTAGCTGCTTTATGTGGATGGCATTGGGAGACAGCAGCAAAGACAGGAAAAGTTCCCCTTCTAAACTACAATGTTCAGAAATTCCCATGCCAGGCAAGGGGTTCTGGGGGTTATTATCCAAAAAGGTTACGTTTCTAAACTCAGGACAAGAATGGGCCCTTGGAATGACCTGGGGTTTGAGTCCAGGACTCTACATGGATACCAAAATTCATAGAAACTTAAGTCTCATTAAATGCAATGGAACTGTAAAATGGTGTTGTACATCAGCCACCAGAGGCTGATGGTTTAACTGATGATTTAGAGAGGACTGTGAGCTTTCCTGTGGCACGAAGTGATAGGCTCTCAAGTCTGGGAAACTAAGGTCTGGGAAATGATGGCTCTCTCTGTGCCGAAACTAGCTTAGAAAATACAAGGCTTCAAGGCCAGTCAAGAGAGCCAGAAGTAGCAACACAGATAAGGAACTGAGTGAAGAGCTGAGTGATAAGGAGAGTTCCCAGGAGAAACCACCTGTAGTTATGGAGATCAACAAAAGTCTTTGTTTACAAATCAGAGCTGAAAATAGATTGCATCATTCAGAGAGATTATGTGGGAAAGTTGTGGAGAAAATTCATGGAAGACGTAATGCTTTCATGGGCATCTATTAAACAACAAATTGTTTGCCTTAAGAGCAGTTCAAGCAATGTTGTATTAGTGTGAAAAGCTAAGCCTGAGTTCTCTGGTTCTTGGTTCAAGTCAAGCCTTGGTTTTGGATTTAATAGATCCTGAAAGTATTCTATGCTCTTGCTCAAAATTGACCGGGGAAGGGGCTCTGGATGCCAAAAAACATACTGGAGCTATGGTGGTTTGTCCACCCCTGTGGTAAGATAATCAACAATTTATTGCAGTCCATAGACCCATCAGTAAAACCAACAATTATTATAAATTCTCCCTGCGGTAAGATTATGACTTAGGATACTAAAAGTTGTTTTAGACCTGCAACCCATCTGCCCTTATCCTCTTCCCTCATAACTTCAGCCATTTCCTTAAGGTAGGCATCCCCTCCATTTTACTGAGATAGAGAAGATGTCTACCAGTCATGCCTGAATCCCTATCAAGGTAGGATGGATTGCTGGTTGAATATTACTGCAAAAACCTAAAACCACACCTGAGTCAAAAGGCAAGTTGGGATACAGTTTGCGCACAAGAAGTCTAATATATTGTCTTTATGACCAGGTTGCGTTCTCACCCCAGTACTTGTTTAAAGACTCAACATTTAGAGATTACTATTATGTTAATTTGGAATAACCACTTTTAACTTTAAAAGAAAAACATTCAAAATCCCTCTGTTGATTTATTGCAAACAGCTCTGACAAATGATTTAGTATTGTTGCAGAGCTGAGCCAAGTTCATATTGACCATATTGACCTTCAAATAGTCTGAAAGAGTCATTAAATGAATTTAGGACTCTATCTTCTCGCAACTCTAGTGGTTATCCTGAATTAATAGGGTGGTAATAATAATAATTTTTGAATGTTGAATCTGTAAACAGGCTCTTGGAAAGCAAAAGACCCGGAAGTGGGAATACGTTTATTGCTTCTCAAAAAGGAGACTTGAACCCTGGTCTAGCCAGTCCTATTGCTTCTTTGCATGTTGATTTATTTATTCTTTAAAAGGAGAATTAACCCCTGGTCTTGCCAGTTGTTCATCTGAAGTATGGGAAGGGACCTGTTTGTGGTGGTTTACTGATAGGCAAGCACTTTTAAGACAGCCTCCATATTCAGGCTTGGAAAGAAGACGTAATATAAAAGAGTGTTGGAAATAGCAAGCTTCTCAAGCCAACACTAGTTGTTTGTTAAGTATATAATTGCTTACTGTATTGTATGTGTGTAATCTTACCTAACTTCTTTGTTGTGGGAGTGGCTGCAGATCTCTGCTCTAATGAATGGATTCTTAAACTGTGGGTCCCAACCCCAAACCCTTAGTTCAATGTTGGAATCATGAAAAGTTTAGCAACAATTAAGGGTTTCTTAATGCTACTCACTTACAGAACTCTGTTAGTAACAACATGCAGTGTTTACAGAGGACTGTAGAAAATGCTTCAGCTATACTCCATAGAAAGGGAAATTAGCTTATTTGGCAAGCCTTGCAAACGCCAATATATTTTCAGTAAATATTTGGAGCACAGCAGGTTAAACCACTGAGCTGCTGAACTTGCTGACCAAAAGGTCGGCGGCTCAAATCCGGGGAGCGGAGTGAGCTCCCGCTGTTAGCCCCAGCTTCTGCCAACCTAGCAGTTTGAAAACATGCAAATGTGAGTAAATCAATAGGTACCGCTTTGGTGGGAAGGTAATGGCCACATGACCTTGGAGGCGTCTATGGGCAACGCTGACTCTTCAACTTAGAAATGGAGATGAGCACCACCCCCCAGAGTTGGACACAACTAGACTTAATGTCAAGGGGAAACCTTTACCTTTACTTATTTTATTTTTTAACCTAATTTATATAGGTATGGGATCATGCAAACATGTATTGGACAGAAAGGGATCACAAGTGGAAAAAGTATAAGACGCATTGCTCTAATGCACAATCATAGCTGCATTGGAAGACAGCACCCACTGGTGGCCCATGAGGGATTATGAGGCTTCAAAAAGTACCTGCGCTGGGATCTTGGTCAACTTGCGGGTAAGAGGTGAAGCAAACCACGTGGACCTCTGGGAACCGACTCTTGAAGTAATGCTTCCAGGCCACCACCAAAGCTGGGGGTGCCAGGTCAATCTTGTTCAGCACAAGGATGAGGTTTCTCTTCATCTGCTTGGTCACAAAGTCATAGAGAGCTGGCGAAAAGTTGATGACCTGGACAAAAAAGGCAAATAAATGAGAGAAGACAGTCACATCATATGAGCAATTTCTAGATAAGAACAGGAACACTTTTATCAATGACTTGGATGACAGAAAAGATGGCACTCTTTATCAAATTTGCAGATGATACCCAATTGGGAGGGCAGTTAACACCCCAGAGGAAAGAATCAGAATTTGAAAGGACCTCAATAGATTAGGGGGCTGGCCCAAACTAACCTAATGAATTTCAACAGGGAGCATACACACTGGCATAAAAATGAAATGCACAAATATAAGATGAGTGTTACCTGGCTTGAAAAAAGTCCATATGAAAGGGATCTTTAGAACATCATTAAGCTGAATATGCAAGAAATACCAAGAAATAGCTTCCTGGTTTTATTTATTGTATCAGAAGCGAACTGAGGGCACAGTTGTAATGTATTTAAAAGACACAAAGTTTTAAAAACTTGGCATTATACTAAATGTCCTTTGACCAGTAGTTGGCCATTTGGAATGCTTCTGGTGTTGCTATAAGAAGGTCCTCAGGCTGCATTGCAGTAGGTGGTCTGTGGTTTGCTCTTCTCCACATTCGCATGTCGTGGCGCATGTCATGGACTCCACTTTGTGGCCCCATTTCTTAAGGTTGGCTCTGCATCTCATAGTGCCAGAGGGCAGTCTGTTCAGCACCTTCCAAATCACCCAGTCTTCTGTGTGCACAGAGGGCGTTTCACATTTGGTATCAGCCATGGTTTGAGGTTCCGGGTTTTAGGATTCTTGCTTGCTGAGGTCTTCCTGCGAGTATCTCTGTAGATCTTCAAAAAGCTATTTCTTTATTTAAGGCATTGGCATGCTAGCTGATATCCGAACAGGGGATGGGCTGGAGATGCCAATACCTTGGTTCTTTCATTATTGGCTGCTACTTCCCAGCAGATGTCAGGTGGTGCAATGCCAGCTAAACAGTATAATTTCTCCAGCGGTGTAGGGCGTAGACATCCTGTGATAGTTCAGCATGTCTCAAGAGCCACATCCACTGTTTAAGTGTGGTGCGATGTGTTCCACACTGGGCATGCGCACTCAGCAGCAGAGTAGCAAAGCACAAGGGCAGATGTCTTCACTGTGTCTCGTTGTGATCCCCAGGTTGTGCTAGTCAACTTTCATACGATATTGTTTGTAGCACCCACTTTTTGCTTGATATTCAAGCAGTGCTTCTTGTAGGTCAGGGCTTCCTGAGATCTACAGAGATACTCGCAGGAATATCTCAGCAAGTGAGAGTCCAAAAGTGGCAGGTAAAAACCTGGGACCTCAATCAGTGGCTGACATCAGATGAGAAATTCCCACCTGGGCACACAGAAGGCTGGATGACTTGGAAGGATAGATGACTGAATAGACTGAGCTCTGGCACCACAAGATGCAGAGCCAACCTTAAGAAATGGGGCCACAAAGTTGGGTCCACAACATGCAAGTATGGAGAAGATAAAACCACAGACCACCTACTACAATGCAACCTCGGCCCTGCCACATGCAAAACGGAGGACCTCTTTATAGCGACACCAGAGGCACTCCAAGTAGCCAGCTTCTAGTCAAAATAAATTTAGTATAATGCCAAGTTTTTAACTTTGTTGTTTCTCTATACATTATAACTGCATTCTCAATTGGCTTCTGACATGGTAAATAAATAGCTGAATATGTGTCAACAATGTCATGTGGCAGCTAGAAAAGCCAATGTGATTCTAGGCTGAATCAATAGAAGTACAGTGTCGAGATTGAGGGATGGCCCTTGTGGTCTCTCCCAACTCTTTGATTCTATATGGTGAGCCTTACTTCAGAGCAGGGTGATCAATCAGACGAGCCACACATTTGGTTGTCTTTGGCCATTTTCACTTCACCAAAAAGGTACTTTTACAGATTCTCTTTTGCACATCTGCTAGTGGACATCATAACATTAGTTCTAATATCCCAAAGTTGGCTTTGGCTATGTGAGAAATCTGGCTGCAACTCCCCTGATGTCCATTGTCAACGTGCAGACACCAACTTCTCCTCCAATCAGACAGACTGGGGTGTACCTCCCCCGGTATTGTAGCCTCCCCCAACCATGTTGCAAAAATCCATAATCCCTCACTGCTGACCATGTTGGTTATTATTCGTGGTTAGCACTCAAGCAACATAAGATGTGACACAAGTTGCCCATTGAAATATGGATGCCTCCTGGGAGACCTAACAGTTTGCAGTGCCTATATAATACAAAATAGAATTCATTAAATGCTTTGCCTTTCTTTAGTTCAAATATATGCAAGCCATGTCTTGAGGATGTAAGTGGAGGAGTCCCAGTGGTGCAATGGGTTAAACCCTTGTGCTGGCAGGACTGCTGACCAAAAGGTCAGTGGTTCAAATAAGGGGAATGGGGAGCTCCGTCGGTCAGCTCCAGCTTCTCATGCGGGGACATGAGAGAGGCCTCCCACAGGATAGTAAAACATCCGGGCATCCCCTGGGCAACGTCCTAGCAGACGGCCAATTCTCTCACACCAGAAGCAACTTGCAGTTGCTCCTGACACGGGAAAAACAACAACAACTGGATTACAACTCTCGTAACCCCTAACTGATGGAATAAAGTTGCACTCTTAACGTTTGAAAGGCCATAGGTTGTCTATTTCTGTTTTAGTTAGAAACTACAATAATGTATCGTAATGTGACTTCCAGATGATGGCAATGGCTGGCCAAAGCTGCTCCCAGAAGCTCCATGAGAAGGAGCTACGAAAGCAAGTCCCAGCCAGTGGATTTCTCCCTAGATCTAGTAAAAGGGGGCAACCCCCCTCCCAAAAAACCTAACTACCATGTGTTGTGACCACAGAAACTAAACAGGCAAATGCAAAAGAAGCAGGGAAGTTTCTGTAAGGACAATGAGCCCCACACCAGGTTTTCTTTGCTAATTTTTTATTCCGACATTTACAGATTATAATTAAAGAGATCATCGATTTTGTGCTGATATTGCCTGCCTTTTGAACTATTAAGAGAAATAGTAAGGACTACTTTAAGAATATACTGCTTATGTAAGAAGTTTAGCAACATGGTGTAGTGAATGAATGAAGGATTTAGGAACATTAACCCTTCAAATTTATAAATGCATTTATATCTTATTAATTTGAAAAGGCGCTTTGAAAAATATGCTAAATTAAATAAGTATATATGAGATAAGCTGGATATAAGTCAGATATATGTTAGAAAAGATTAATTGTACTCATATATAAATCTAGTTGATATCCATGTTGGAACATTAGATAACGAGAAAGGGATTTATTTAGGTTAGAAAAATCAGGGAGGACTGCCTATATCCAAAAAAAAAAAATCTTATTTTAAATGTCTTATGACAGATGGCCTGCAAAAATGATTTAGCCTTTAAATATGTTAGTTGATAAAATTAATAAGAGTAATAGTCTGATTTGATAAAATTACTAATCCTTTACTGAATTTTTGTAGAAAAAATAGATTTTTATAAATTTGGATTTTGATTATTAGTAGGTACATTTTATAGAGAAGAGGACAGCAGCAATAAAATGAGAGAGGCATAAACCGATTATATGTTTAAAAGGACTGAAAATAATATGGGATGTCACCTTTCTCGTACTGCATATTTGTGTCTTCTTCTATTTTCTCTCCCCTCCCCTTTTTATCTTCTTTCTGTGTTTTTTTCTTGTATTTCTTTTTCTCTGTATACTTATTAATGTATATCAAAATAAAAATATTTCTTAAAAGCGTAATGTTTTGTTCTGTCACCAGGTGTCACTATAATGCTGTTTTCTATCTCTAGGTCAGTGTTTCTCAGCCTGTGGTCCGTGGACTGCCAGTGGTCCCCAAGAACTAAAATATGGTTTGTGGTCTCACCATTTCTACACCAGTGCAAAGAGAGTGACTGGTCTCATGAAACCCTCTTATAGTGCCGAGGCAACAGGGATGTCGAGAGAGGGAGAGACTGACTATTTGTTTATTTATTTATTTATTTACGACATTTCTACCCTGCCTTTCTCACCCTGGAGGCAACAATTCGATGCCCTAAAATTATTATTATTATTATTATTATTATTATTATTATTAACTTTATTTGTACCCCGCTAGCATTTCCCGAAGGACTCGATGCGGCTTACAAAGGCCAAGGCCTCAACAAAACAATAGTACAACAAATACAATTCAAAGCAAATCAAAAACATCAAAGCAATAACAGCAAACAACAAAACAATACACCATAACACCATAAAAACAGGGCCGGGCCAAAGTAATGGGTACAGAKYAAAAGTGCTGGGTGTGACAAGTGGTCTATCGGATTTCAAGGAAGTGCAATGTGCAGAGAATCTTAAAATTCTGATAAAGTGCTTCTGGGACTCTAACGAAGTGCTACTGGAGTTTCCTATTCTGGAAAGGCACATCGGAATAGCCAGGTCTTCAAATTCTTCCTAAAGACAGCCAACGTGGGGCCTGACTGATGTCTTTGGGGAGGGTGTTCCAAAGTCGGAGGGCCACCACAAAGAAGGCGCTGTCCCTCGTCCCCACCAAACGAGCCTGCGATGCAGGTCTCTCCGGATGAACGAAGACAGCGAGTGGGTTCATAAACGGAGATACGGTCACACAGGTAGGCAGGTCCCAAACCGTTAGGGCTTTGTAGGTAAGCACCTGCACCTTGAATTGGGCTCGGAAAATAAACGGCAGCCAGTGGAGCTCCTTAAACAGGAGGGTTGACCTCTCTCTGTAAGGGGCCCCAGTTAACATCCTGGCTGCCACCCGTTGGACTAGTTGGAATTACCGAGCCGTTTTCAAGGGCAGCCCTACATAGAGCGCATTAAAGTAACCCAGTCTAGAGGTGACCAAGGCATGGACCACCCCGGCCAGATCAGCCTTTGCGAGGTACGGTCGCAGCTGGCGCACAAGTCTCAGTTACGCAAAGGCCCTCCCAGACACCACCGACGCCTGAGCCTCAAGCGTAAATGATGAGTCCAGGAGGACTCCCAAACTGCAGACCTGTGACTTCAGGGGGAGTGTAACCCCATCCAGCACAGGTTGCCACCCTATACCCCGATCCAGTTTACGATTGACCAGGAGGACCTCTGTCTTGTCGGGATTGATCTTCAGTTTGTTCATCCTCATCCAGATAGCCACAGCGGCCAGGCACTCGTCCAGCACCCAAGGGGTGCTGGACGCAATGTAAACTTAAATAAATATTCAAATAGAATTTAAAAGTACATTAAGACAATTAAAACATTTTAAAATAATGTATTTAGAGCTAAACACTTAATCCATGAACGTAATCTGGGCCATTCCCATGAAAGGTGTGACAAGTCCAAATTTGGTGTCGATTCACCCAGTGGTTTTTAAGTTATGTTAATTCCACAAATGAACATTACATTTTTATTTATATAGATTTATTTATTTACTTACAACATTTATATGCCGCCCTTCTCACCCCAAAGGGGACTCAGAGCAGCTTACAAGATATATATATACATACAATATATTAAATAATTAGCATAGTACAGTATCAGTATTATATAGTACTATACTGTACTACACCATTATATTGTAATATTATTAGTAACATTACATGTAATATAAAATATATACTTATAATATTGTATTATTATATTGATTTTCTCAATCAGCACCCCAAATAAACAAACCGAATCTGAAGTTGACCAAAAACTGATTCTTTTGGTACTAATGTTGGAGAATAGTCCCTGGTCTAAGTGGCCCCCGGTCAAAGTAGTCCCTGGTCACATGGTTCCTGGTCAAAAAAAGGTTGAGAACCACTGTTCTAGGTGAATAAAGACCGTGGGAGGATGAATGGAACTTTAAAACTCAGGCAGCACATATGACACGCAAAGCAACAACTACAGACAAGAACAGCAAATGAGTAGAAAAAAATTAAAAATACATTTCAAATTGTCAAAAGAAAAATAGCCGTCAGTGTTCTAAAATTACAGGATTATAAATTGTTCCACGTTAATTGATCTAGGAATTTATATAAAACTCTTACCCCAGGGACATAGCTTTGAAAAGATACTTTTTTTGGACTACAATTCCCAAACTATACAGCCAGAATAAGCTCTGGGGATTTTGGGAGACATAGTCCAAACAAGTAACATCCTCAAGCCATGCACAAGATGGGTATGAAGAGAGATTTCTTTGGCTTTAGTTACTGCTGAATAATGTGCTCTTATACACTCCACTCAAGAGCTGTGTATAAATGCACTACCTTCTGTGAAATAACTAGACAGTATCATAGAATGTGTTTTCTGCTTGAATTCTTGAAGGAAGTACATACAGGCCTCCTGCTTAGTGAGTCAAAGCACATGAAAGGGTTTCTTCAACTGAGCCAATAGTCTGCGTGAACAGAGACCAGCAAGAACTGGCAGTCAAATCATCAACAGCACGCAAAGGGAGCCCTTACCGGGTGCCGGATGTCTGTAATGAGCAACACGATGTCCGACATCTCCAATACTCGCCACAGCTGCCTCCAGGTCTGTATGAAAAAACAGAAGATTAGAGAAGATCTCTGTGCCATTTGTCCTGTCCTATTGTGCCCATCAGTCAGTAAATTCATTCATCGGCGCTGGCTCGGGGATTCAGAAAGCCATGGTTCACAATGCCTATGAGAGGGGGAAATAAGGGCTCTCCTGCCCCAAATAAGAACTATGGTGTGCCCCACCAATGACACTTTGTGTCAGTCACCAAATTTGTAGTGTTGCAGACAGTGAGACACTGAAAAACACTGCACTTGTGTTTGCTATGTTCACATTTCCTTGGTCACTTTGCCTGCTCTTTTTCTTTACATGCCAAAAGTGTATTACTGAAGTTTTGAGTTACTAAAAAACTAGAAAATGATGAGGGAAAATGTGTTGTCAAAGGCTTTCATGGCCGGAATCACTGGGTTGTTGTAGGTTTTTCCGGGCTATATGGCCATGTTCTAGAGGCATGTTCATGTCCTAGTCACCAAAGGTCTCTTGACGTTTCTCCTGCATCTATGGCAAGCATCCTCAGAGGTAGTAGCTCCAGCAGACAAGAGTCCTTTGCCCCACCTGGGTCATTCCACAGATATATAAACCCATTTTCCTACTTCCAACAAACCTCACTACCTCTGAGGATGCTTGCCATAGATGCAGGCGAAACGTCAGGAGAAAATGCCTCTAGAACATGGCCATATAGCCCGGAAAAACCTACAACAACCCGATGAGGGAAAAGCTTGTTTTCTGCTGCTTTGGTGACTAGGACATGAAGTTATTTATTTATTTATTTATTTCGTATCAAAAGCATTGCATAAATTAGTATAAAACTGATAAAATAGCAAGTGTGCAGGCGGCTAAATATCTTTTGACCAAAAACTGGTTACAGTAATGGCACAGTCTGTAGCCTCCAACAATTCCTCCCCTGTACATGAGGCAGGGCATAGTGGACAAGCATACAGATGCCGAGTTGTCTGTTCTGCTCCACAGTCACACAAGGTGGGGGATTCTTCTTGGTAGTGCCATTTTGCCAGGTTGTCTTTTGATTTGCCCACTCCACTTCTGAGTCTGTTCAGGGACTTCCAAGTCACCCGTTCTTGGTTTGCCCCTGGAGGAAGACCCTCGTGGGGAGCCTTCCAATTGGCTGCCATTTCCTGGTTTAGCTGCCCAGAGGGATACTCTTGCTGTTGCTGGAGGAAGCCAATGGATTAAAATGGATTTTAAAGCAATGGATTCAAACTGCAGGATGAGAGATTCCACCTAAACACTAGAAAGAACATCTTGATGGTAAGAGCTGTTTGGCAGTGGATTATGCTGCGTGGGAGTGTGGTGGAGTCTCCTTAATTTTAGAGTCATACAGTTGGAAGAGACCTTGTGGGCCATCCAGTCCAACCCCCTGCCAAGAAGCAGGAAAATCGCCTTCAAAGCACCCCCAACGGATGGCCATCCGCCTCTGTTTAAAAGCCTCCAAAGAAGGAGCTTTCACTATACTCCGGGGCAGAGTTCTCTGGAGGTTTTTAAGCAGAGGCTAGATGACCATCTGTTGGAGTTTATGCACTTTATTTATGGTTCGTGCAATTGAATCCTTCCTCATTCTCGGATCCTCGTCCTAATGATTTGCATCGTCCTATCTCCCAGAGTTTTTAATTTTTTATCCTTGAATGTGGCCCTGCCCAGTGAAATCCTCTGTTTTTAATTGCATGTTTTATATTGTCTGTGCCATTTATTATATTTCTTTGCATTTTATGTATTTTATTTTCTGGTATTGTTATGTTTTGTATTACAATGTATGTACTGCACTGATGGGCGTGGCCTCCTGTAAGCCGCACCAAGTCCCCCTGGGGGAGATGGAGCAGGGTATAAATAAAGTTTTATTAATAATAATAAAAGGGTTAGACTAGATGGCCCTTGGAGTATCTTCCAACTTAAGGATTCTAAGAAACTGAACCATCCACTCTGTTTTAGCTTGGGTCTCTTCAGGCTTTTTAACGTTTTCTACACCTTTTACAAAGTTTGAGATCAGAACTGATATCCCCACAATATCAATTGCAAAGACATCAAGACTTTATTTTGGAAACAAACATGCAAAGTCGCATTTTGTATCTATCAGAGTTCTTATGAAAGTGGGTTAAAAAGTACATTGATAAAAAGAATACCACACCACCTGAAACCCAAGCTTTCCCTTCAAACTTTTAAAGGCTCACCTCCAGATTGTGCTCAAAGTAACTTAGCTGGCTTGGCTGGAATGTAGTGTAGATATTCTCTAGATAATCCCGGAAGCATTTCTCCTCTCGAGCCAAAAGCTGCTCCTTGGTCATCTGGTAACTCCAGGGTGGACGTTTTGGAAAATCCAATACTGAGAGGAAGAAAAAGTAAAAACTGGTTGGGATATATAGACAAAAACTTCACTACAATCTCGCTTGTGCTCTACGCTAGTGTAATAGTGCCTTACGTAGCTCCTTGCTAAATGTTTCTCACTTCACCTCCTTTGAACTTTCATTGCACTGTAAAGCAATAACAAGGTTGAAGGTACCCAAGGGAGTCCTGTGACATTTAAAAGAATTGTATTTCAGCACACTGAACCTCCTTTCGATGCCTATCTGGTCCTCTACAATAACCACTCTGAGGTCAGTGGCAAGGTGTTCTGGGGAACTGAGATGTCCCCACACCACACTGCTGACAGATGATTTCACACAAACCTTCCTTACTTCTGCACAACCCTCTCATGCCTGCCTTCCTCGACACACATACTACAGAAGGATATAATTCTGCACTCCACATAAATCCTTCATATGTTTTTTCTGGATACATCATATGGTAGCATGGAAAACTTGTATAGAGAATGATGCATATAAAAGTGGCGAAATAGGATATCGTCCTTAGCTCCATCAGAAAAGGATAACATTAACAAGAGGGGACATGAAGGAAGATACACATTCACTGCAGTTAGGGCACACGGATTCCCATGAAAGTGAAAAAACAGCAAATTTCAAGAAACACTTTATAAGAAAACTGTGACAACACCTGCCTAGGAATCCCCAGGTCTTCCAGCACAACTCTATGATTATCTTCTGTCAGAATTTGGCCACAGAATTGTGCTGGAAGGCATATGAGATTCCTAGACAATTATTCTCTCTAGGAATCTCTAGGGCCCTCCAGCATGGCTCTATAGCCAACTTTTGCAAGAAGTTTTGCAAGAAGTTGATTGTAGAGTCTTGCTGGAGGAGCGGTGGTTCCCAACCTTTGGGCCTCCAAATGTTTTGGACTTCAACTCCCACAAATCCTAACAGCTGGTGAGATGGCTGGGATTTCTGGGAGTTGAAGTCTAAAACGCCTGGAGACCCAAAGGTTGGAAACCACTGAACCCCTTAATTAAATCTGTAAATAATTAAATCCATTAAAGCCAAACCTGTAAATGTGGCGAGTTGACTGTATGTTTGAGACTACTTGGAAACCATTTATAACTTAGTGAGATCTGTTTGGATTCATTTTATGGTTGTTTTTATACTCTGTGGTTTTTAAATTGTTAATTTGTTTACATTGTTTTAAAACGTGTTTTTAGTGATAAACTCTGTTGTGTTGGGCTTGATCTCACTTGTAAGCTACCCCGAGTCCCTTCGGGGAGATGGTGGCAGAATATAAAAATAAAGTTATTATTATTATTATTATTATTATTATTATTATTACTACTACTACTACTACTATTACTAGCTGTACCTGCCACACGTTGCTGTGGGCAACCTTCCCTCCCTCTTTCTCTCCTTCTTTCCCTTCTTCCTTCGCTCCTCTTTCCTTCCTTCTCTACCTCTTTCATTCTTTCTCTTTTTCTTTTCCTTCCGCTTTCTCTCCTTTCTTCTCTACCTCTTTCCTTCCTTCCTTTGCTCTTTCCTTCTTTCTTTCACTCTTCTCTCTTTCTCTTTCTTTCTTTCTTTCTCCCCTTCCCTCCCTCCCTCTTCCTTCCCTTTTTTGTCTGTATCATGATTTAGCTTTTCATCATTTAGATTTTTTGAGTTTTTAAATCCTTTCTGCTGTTTTTGGGGGGTTTTATGAGTGATGGTCACTCATTGGCCTGTTAGGGGTATAGTGTCCAAATTTCATGTCAGTTTGTCCAGTAGTTTTTGAGTTATGTTAATCCCACAAACAAACATTACATTTTTATTTATATAGATTATTAATATTATTAATCAAGGCAACAGAGAACTTAAAGTTCTTTTGGATCAAGACATTTTGGATAAATTAGTATCAATAGCTATGATCAACAACATATCTACAACACATATTTATTTGGAAGACAATTTATATGTATGGTAATTGACAGTCTATGTCTATATGTATATTTTTATGCTTATGTATTTCTATTTTATGTGTAGCACCCTGGAGTGCTTTTGTGAGCCGCCCCAAGTCCCTCCGGGGAGATGGTGGCAGGGTATAAATAAAGATTATTATTATTATTATTATTATTATTATTATTATTTGAATTGTTTCTATATAACAACATAGAAAGAATGAATTAATGTACTTGTTAAATTTTAATTTTTTAAAAAACCTTTTCAATCCCCTCCTCCTCACAAATCATGTTTTCCAGAACACTCCTCTGAATCATCCATTCACTGAGCTACTTTTCCTGGATCCCCACACTGTTCACCTGAGCCGGTCTTGTAAATATCTTCTATGTCCACTTCTGTCTCAGCTTCTGGCACAGGCTCCAAAATCTTTTCCCTGGCAATCTTTTTCCTCCGCTCTATTTCTTCTTTGCTCTCCCGATCAAAGTGTAGCCGGTATCTGACAGATGGGGAAGAACAAGGGAGATTAGGAAGGGATTAGAAAGTGGAAGCATATTTGGCTGGCACATGCAGCCCAACCTCCCATCTCAACTCTAGAACTAGCCACTTTGGGTCTCAATCAAGAGAGAAAAGTAGGTTCTAAATAAGCAATACTAGACACATTTAGCTTAATTTCAGGATCATAGTGGGATGGTGGCTTACTAGGATGGAGAATCACAAGATTATAGTGCGATGGAGAACTAGTACCATTCAGATATGTGGGGAAGAAACATTGATCATTGCTACCAGATGGACCAGTTATTGGATAATGGAGGGATGATCAAACACAACTGGAAAGCTAAAGTCCCTCCATGACAATGCAGCAGTATCTACTCAGAAACAAGAAACAACAACTATTGTTCCTGATTGTCTACATTCTTTATTTTACACTAGCCATGCTCTGCCATGCATTGCTGTGGCCCAGTCTGGTGATCTGGAAAATAAAGTAATGAGGAAGTGTTGGTTTCTAATATATGTAATTTTTATGATTGTGGGTGAACAGTATTTCTTGTTGTTTCTTTGTCAGTGTTGATGTAGAGTTTGTCTGGTTTGCCTACTCTGGAACATGCAACATATAATTGTCCTTCTTTAGGAATCCCTTTTAAACCTATGATACTAAATCTGTCATATACATATGTGTGTGTGTGAATCATAATTATCTATGGCTGAATGGCTCTTTGTCAGGAGGGCTTTGATTATGTTTTCTTGCCCCGGTGAAGGGAGCTGGACTGGATGATCTTAAGGCAGCATTTCTCAACCTGGGGGTAGGGACACCTGGGGGGAATGGGTGGGGGTGTCAGAAGGGTCACCAAAGACCATCAGAAAACACAATATTTTTGTTGGTCATTGGGATTCTGTGTGGGAAGTTTGGCCGATTCTATCATTGGTGGGGTTCAGAATGCTCTTTACTGTAGGTGAACTATAAATCCCAGTAACTACAACTCCCAAATGTCAAGGTCTATTTCCCCCAAACTTTATCTGTATTCATATTTGGGCATATAGAGTATTTGTGCCAAGTTTGGTCCAGATCCTTCACTGTTTGAGTCCACAGTGCTCTCTGGGTGTAGGGGAACTACAACTCCAAAACTCAAGGTCAATGCCCACCAAACCCTTCTATTGTTTTCTGTTCATGGGAGTCAGATGTGCCAAGTTTGGTTCAATTACATCGTTGGTGGAGTTCAGAATGCTCTTTGATTGTAGGTTAACTATAAATCCCAGCAACTACGACTCCCAAATGACAAAACCAATCAGGCACATCTAATCGCCTCTCAACAAAAGATTGCCCAGGCACTGCCAGGCCATCAAATGCTAATAAAGGTGATCAGTTGAAACCTTCACACCTAGCTCCAACAGGCAAGAGTTCTTTGCCCCCTCCCCCCCCCCGGTCATTCCACAGATATATAAACCCACTTTCCTAGTTCCAATAGACCTCACTATCTCTGAGGATACTTGCCATAGATGCAGGTGAAACGTCAGGAGAAAATGCCTCTAGAACATGGCCATATAGCCCAAAAAAACCTACAACAACCCAGTGATTCCGGCCATGAAAGCCTTCGACAATACAAAGATAACAATGATAATAACTAGTGGGTTTCTATGGCTGAATTGAGATTCCAACTCTCATCTCCAGAGCTGGCTCTCAGCTGCAAACTAGGATCCCAGATTTGGATAGAAATTACAGCTATTGCTAGTTGGTTTACCTGCTTGGATGAGTGGGAGAACCAAATGGGTTGAATGTACAAATATGCAGCTCACTCCTGGTAAATCAGGACTAGCCACAAATCTTGACTTATTGTGTGCACTCATCCACCTGGCTAACCACTATATGTTTCTCTGCAACTATTTATTTATCCATGGCTTTTGACTAATCCCTCTCATGGCTTGAAGGCAATGTACAAAAGGTGAAAGATTTAGAACATTAAGTACACAAATAAAAGCAGAATAAACATTGCTCTTTAAAAATAGTTTTTAAACCACAGACAGCCAAAAATATAAAGGATACAAAAATACATTGACATGGCAAATATTAAACATTTAAAGGTCCAATTAAATTATGGAATAGTATGCAGGTTGGAAAACTCTTGTCATTTCTGTCTTTCCCCCCCAAGGGACACTTTACTGCCCATCATGCAGCATGACTAAATTCCTCAACTATTCAACATATTTCTAGATGTACCATCTTTTTCTATCCTTCATGGAATGGGAAGAAGTGGCTTATAGTAAAAACACAGGGTGCATCTATTCTGTAGGATAAATACAGATTGACCCCACCTTAAAAGCCATGGCTCAATGTTATGGAATCATGGGATTTGTAGTTTGAAAAGGTATTTAACTTTCTCTGCCAAAGAGTGCTGAGGTTCACAAAACTACAAATCGAAGATTCCACAGTATTTAGGCAAAGGTATAAGTTGTACCCTGACATGAAGTCCTGTCGTGTCCGACTCTGGGGTGTGGTGCTCATCTCAATTTCTAAGCCGAAGAGCTGGCCTTGTCCGGAGACACCTCCAAGGTCATGTGGCCGGCATGACTGCATGTAGCGCCGTTACCTTCCCGCCGGAGAGGTACCTATTGATCTACTCACATTTGCATGTTTTTGAACTGCTAGGTTGGCAAGAGCTGAGGCTGACAGCGGAAGCTCACGCCGCTCCCCAGATTCGAACCTGCGACCTTTCAATCAACAAGTTCAGCAGCTCAGCGCTTTAACCCACTGCGACACCAGGGGCTCCTCCACACTACTTAGCCATGTCAATTAAAGTGGTGTCAAACTGCAATAATTTTACAGTGTAGATGCATCCTTGGATATCTCAAATTCAGACAATGAGATGATTACCTGAATATTTTGTTGATCACTATCCTGAGTGGGAGGAAAACAATATGGAATGCAACATTTCATGACATGACATGACAAAACCAATGGCTAAAAAGAGTGTGTGAACCACAGGCAAGATCAAACAGTTTTTTAGCCTTCCTGATTAAACCTGGCTTGATGTTATCTCCTATGACCCTTGCAACATGGAAAACAGAATAAAGTCTCTCTAGCAAGAGTCAGTGAACATCTTAGCAATGTGACAGGTCTGGATTTTGTTTTCCACAGGAACTCTGAGCTGAAGTTGTCAAACTAGTTTCAGTGTGGCACAAGAAATACTCAGACATGCCCAATTCCCATAGGATGCTTTCTCATGTTGTCAAAGGAAGGAATAGCAAGTGGACTTGATTCCAATTTCCTATATCCTTTGCTAAGTGTTGTCAATAAGAACAGGCCCCTCTTAGTTTGGAGGGTAAAATCCAGGTTAATTAGGCAGCAGTGCTCTTTCTATCTCTATAAGGGGAACAGAATCTAGTAGTTAGAATATACGCAGTTCCCAAGTTAAGAAGAAGTTTGTTCTTAAGCTGAATTTGTTTATAAGTCAGAACAGGCACATTTTTAAGTGTAACTCCAGCCAAAAACATATATTTCTTAGCTTTGGATGGCATAGGGAAGGGTTTACACCCCTGTGGTGTTTGTTTTTGCTGCTTTTCACCTCACTTTCTGTTCCTGGGAGAATTGGATTTTGGAAAATTTGACCTTTTGTGGAAACACAGATTGGTAATAAAGCTTCAGTAGAGACACCTTTCCCCACATGATTACTCTTCCAGGAGTGAATATCCTTTCCAAGGAATAGGTTTCTCTCACTTCCTGTTGTCTCATCAAACCAAAGCTAAAGTTGACCAAAAACTAATTCGTAACCCTTTTTTTGGTAGTAATGTTGGAGAGTGGTCGCTGATCAAGTGGTCACTGGTCAAAAAAAGGCCGGGAAGCACTGATATTAATAGAGGGAGGAGGAAAAGAAGGAAAACAACAACCTTGTAGTCACATGAACAAACTCCGATACCATTAGACACAGCTACCAGCGGGTTGAATAGCCTTCTTTAATGTTCTAGCAAGCTTTACCTATAAGAAGATTAGCTCCCTAGAAGGAGAATGATAGCTGTGGTGCAGCTATCTGCTGCCCAGGTTGGAGTGAGCTTCCGGCCATTAGTCTAGCTTGCTGTCGACCTTTGCAGCCCAAAAGACAGTTGCATCTGTCAAGTAGGAAATTTAGGTATCGCTTTATGCAGAGAGGCTAATTAAACTAATTTACGATGCCATAAAACCTTCCAGCACCAGTGCAGAAGAATGAGGAAGTGCTCCATCAAAGGACTCGGTGTCACAAATAGACAGTGAAGCAGCTCCCCCTGTGGCCGGAATCGAGCATATCCTGAAGCCGGAAAGCTGGAATGTTAAATTGCCTCTATGTCTGTCTATATATGTTGTATGTCTAATTGGCATTGAATGTTTGTTTTGCATATGTGCATTGTAATCCGCCTTGAGTCCCCTACAGGGTAAGAAGGGTGGAATATAAATACTGAAAATAAATAAAAATACATAAATAATTCTTTGGGTTGTTGTAGGTTTTTTCGGGCTGTATGGCCATGGTCTAGAGGCATTCTCTCCTGACGTTTCACCTGCATCTATGGCAAGCATCCTCAGAGGTAGCTGAGGATACCTCTGAGAATGCTTGCCATAGATGCAGGCGAAACGTCCGGAGAGAATGCCTCTAGACCATGGCTATACAGCCCGAAAAAACCTACAACAACCCAGTGATTCCGGCCATGAAAGCCTTCGAAAAAATAGTTCTTTTCTTGATGGTGGACACAAACTCAGTGGGAAGGAACAAGAGACTCTGCCTTCCACATTTCCTGACTGTACCTCCTAATGTGATAATATTCAAAAGGTGGAATATACTTTTCCACATGGTCTTCACTTCAGGTTTTCTCCTGAAGAGTACACATCTTAAGCACACTAAGAACTTCTTCTAACATATATGTGCATATGAAATTACTGCTCTCTTTTTGTTACGGGTAATGTAGTTGAAAAAGTGAGAAACATATTGACAAAAATGGAACGGACAATTAGCTGCAGAGAATTCTAGGAAATAGAAAAACAAGTGACTCATTCTCCATCACTGTCTCACAAACGGAAGTTATCACATCTACGCTATTGAGGTGCAAGTTCATAAATTGCACCTCACTCACAATGAGTAAGCACCAGCTTAGCATCCTTTCTCATGTACCACCAACAGATAACGAATGATGGAGTGAATGAGTGAGTCACCAAATAGGACATACATGGAACGACAGATGATCATCAATGTTATTAAAGTAATCTGCACATTTCCAAGGTGAAGAGCCTCCAAAGAATAGGTTAAGCATCTTGGATACTACCATTAAAGTCTGGAGTAAAACTCAAATTGGATTCATCACCTCATTGACATGAGAACCACCTACATGCAGTTCCACTTCCTCCGAAAGAGGAAACTCCGAACCTGGGGATGCCCCTCAATCCATCAATGCCAGGTAGCTAAGAATGTCTTTTTTCCCCCCTAGCTCCCTCTGACTTCTAACTCATCTGGAGAAGGAGATCCTGTCGAGAGCAGTTGCAACTACTGGTACTGTCAAGACTGAATTAAGATAATGTGCTCTGTCTAAGGCTTTTCTTGAAACCAGCCCAGAAGATGAAGCTGGTTCAGAATGTGGCCTCCTGGTCTCCATTGTAACCGCTGCTTATCAGCATGCAGGACTTTTGCTGGAGAATTGGCAATGACCGGGCTTTAGCACAGCAGGTTAACCGCCAGTTGCAGTAAATGTTGCCAACTAAAGATTGAAGTTCAAAGCACAGTTGGGGTGAGCTCCTGGCCTTTATCCCAGATTCTGCCAACCTAGCAGTTTCAATAACAGCAATGAGAGTAAATAAATGAATACCACTTTAAGCGGGGAGGTATTTAAGGCATCCATAAAGAAATGCCAGAAAAATGCCAGTGATTTGATCAAGTAGGAAGTTTAGCACACACACACACACACACACACACACACACACACACGGCTTGAACTGGGCACAGCCTCCAAGATGCCGAAGATGGGAAAGCCTATATATACCTATATCTATGTACAGTTGTCTGTCTTGTCAGTGTACAACGGCATTGAATGTTTGCCGTATATGTGTTCTGTGATCTGCTCTGAGTCTCCTTCGGGATGAGAAGGGCGGAATATAAATACTGTAAAAAATAAATAATGATGTACCGATCCATTTATTTTTAAGCTTAATGTTTTATATGGGGTTTAATGGTATTGAATAATTGCTATATGTAAGCCACCTGGAGTCCCCTTTGGGGTAGAGAAAGGCGGGGTATAAATAGGGTAAATAAATAAATAAACAGTTGAGAATTAGGATACATGAGGACATGCCTTCTCCCTTCTCATCCTGCCAGATCACTAACTGCCAGATCTCCTAGTTGTTCTCCATGGATCTGAGATATCCACCAAGTGCATGCCCGAAGTCCCATGCTCTGCCTTGAAATTGGTTATGAACCAATTTTCTGTTTTCAGCCTTCTGAGTTATAAGTCACTGATTTATGAGACATTTATCTCTCTTGTAATTTTTTTTGTACTTGCTGGTTTAAATCCAATGAACCTTACTCCTAAATCTCCACTTCAGAATGGTTTCTACATTCTATATAAATAAAAATGTAATGTTCATTTGCGGGATTAACATAACTCAAAAACCACTGAACAAATTGTCACCAAATTTGGACACAATACACCTATCAGTCCAAAGAGTGACCATCACATATAAAAACACTGAAAAACACAGTGGAAGAGACTCTAAAAAGCCAAAAAATAAAACATACATTACAACGCATGCACAAAACCACATATACACAAATATATGCACACACAAAACACATATACACAGACTGGGCCACAGCAACACGTGGCAGGGGGTGGCTGGTATTCTATATAAATAAAAATGTAATGTTCATTTGTGGGATTAACATAACTCAAAAACTACTGGACAAATTGACACCAAATTTGGACACAATGCACCTATCAGGCCAATGACCATCACTCATAAAAACACTGAGAAACACAGCAGAAGAGACTTAAAAGGCCAAAAAAACAAAATTACATTACAATGCATGCACAAAACCACACACACACACATATATGCAAACATACACATACACACATATATACACACACAAAACACATATACACAGACTGGGCCACAGCAACACATGGCAGGGGACAGTTAGTAAATTAATAAACAACTAAACAGTTTGACAAACTTTGAAAGATCAAGAGAGAGGAAACTTAGAAAATGCAGGAAGAGTTTTGAATCTATAATACCAAAAAAAAAAAAAAAAAAAAACAAGCACGGGAAAGGAATGGAAAATCTGGATGCCCTACTGAAACTGGGGAAGAAAGTAACATCTAGCACTTCCACTAAAGATATAAGCTCAAGGAATGGGATTAGGCTTCTTGATGAATCCGACCCGGGATCCATCCTAATAAGAATGTCCACCCTGATCTCAGGTCAGGGTGGATGCTGAACAACCCTGAACTTTAACAACCAGCATTCTTCACCAGTGACTATCCAGGCCATGTATAAAGTAAATTACAGTGCAACAACATCTGGAAGGCTGCCCAATTTTCCACCTCTGTCTTTGGTACTCTCTTCAACCAAATGCAGAAAAATTCCCTGCATTACCTGTTGGGATCATAGCCCTGTTCTCCTGGCTTGCGGATCTGAGGCTGTTGGTTGATCCTGCGGACCTGTAGGGAGAACGACTCGCTGTCGGATGTGTCTGTGTGCTCTTCATGCCTGTCATGGCTACCACTCCGGCTGTTTGAACTCGACCGCACACCATCTTGGAAGCCTGGAGGGAAGCAAAGGGAAAAAACAAAAAGACAGATTGACTTCACGAAGTAGAGAATGGTCATGGTTATGTGTGTCCATTCCCACAACCCTTCCTAAGTTAAAATTTGACCTTCAAACTGAAAAAAGTTATCAACTCCTATAATAAACCATTATATTTCTCCCTCACGTTTCTCTCAACACATGACCAAAAAGAAGACCTTGGAATTTTTCAGTCAACCAGGCTTTTTGTGTGTACGTTGTCTGAATTGGGAACTATATTTAATACTGAGATTTGATTAAGCAAGTCAGCTTCAGGAACTGTGTTTTGGAAGTGTTTTGATTGATTCCAACCACAGTTGGTTCTAAACAGATTGTTGTTCTATGTGATGTAAGAAGTCAAAACAACTTAAGAAAGGATTGGGAACCATTGTTACATGTTATAAAAAAAGAAAACCGTACACAATTATGGATCGGGGATTTTGAATCATTTAAAATTGTAGATTATATAGATGTAGAAAGTTAGATAGAGGATCTTAGATTAGTAATCTAGGAAGATGCACACCGTATTTTCTGTTGGTCATGGGGGTTCTGTATGGGAAATTTGGCCCAATTCTCTCATGGGGGGGGGTGTTTCAGGATGCTCTTTAATTGTAGGTGAACTATAAATCCCAGCAACTACAACTCCCAAATGTCAAGGTCTATTTCCCCCCAAACTCCACCAGTGTTCACACTTGGACATATTGAGTATTCGTGCCAAGTTTGGTCCAGATCCATGATTGTTTGATTCCACAGTGCTCTCTGGATGTAGGTGAACTACAACTCCAAAACTCAAGGTCAATGCCCACCAAACCCTTCCAGTATTTTCTGTTAGTCATGGGAGTTCTGTGTGCCAAGTTTGGTCCAATTCCATCATTGGTGGAGTTCAGAATGTTCTTTGATTGTGGGTGAACTACAAATCCCAGCAAGTACAAATCCCAAATGACACCCCACCCCCCCCAAACCCCACCACTATTCAAATTTGTGCCAATTTTGGTCCAGTGAATGAAAATACATCCTGCATATCAGATATTACAATTCATAACAGTAACAAAATTAGAGTTATGAAGTAGCAACGAAAATAATTTTATGGTTGGGGGTCACCACAACATGACGAATTGTTTCAAAGGGTCGCAGCATTAGGAAAGTTGAAAACCACTGCCTTTTAAGAGATATGGACATAATGTAATAATGAAATGTATAGGAACACAACATATCCCATGAAAGACTTATGTTCCCCATAAGTATTAGCTGTAAAATCAAAAACTCTTAAATTCCGGTTCAAGTTTCAGAGAGAGCAGGATCAAAGTGAGGGTACGGTCACATGAAAGAAAGGGGAAATTGCTTCCAGCCATGACTGTGTGAAACTAGCAGGCCTTCGTGGTTTTAAGTAAAGAAGAACCCTGGCAACCGGAAAGATTTGGACTCTACCCGCATTTCTGGCTGGGGTGTGCAGCGTGACAGCTTAAAGCAGGGAGGGATGAGAAAGCAAGAATCCAGGGCTTGTGGGTGTGCGTTTAAGGAGACAAAGCGACTCCAGAATTCATTCCTGTGTAGGGAGAGGGGCCTATTAGAGGGGGGGGGGGGAAGATGGCATAAGGAGTCAGCAAGAAGAGGATGGCTTCTACGGCTTTGGGGATTTATACAGTAGGCTCTGGAAAAAGCCCGCAGTTTGACCTTGGAAGGAGCCAAGAAAAGGGATCTTCTCTCTGCAGGAAAAGAAATTGCAACAAGCACACTATGGCAGGGCTTTCCAAACATTGCATGTTGGTGACATGCTTTTTAGACATTTCGAGACACAATAATTGAGTTTTACTAGCAAACCGGAGATTTACCTAACCCCTTGTAAAAGATACGGACTACATACATAAATGGTAATAACAAAATGTATGGCGACACAACGTATCTCACAAAAACCTTTCATTTATGCTTTTTAAAATATATGCTGGACCACTTTAACAACCACCATGTCAGACTACACAGAGAAACCATTGACATCCACAAGCATGTGGACAATTTCATCAGAAACGAGGAAACCATGAAAATGAACAAAATCTGGCTTCCAGTATTTAAAAAACTCTAAAATCAGGACAGTAAATAAAGAACGACACTAAAAAAAACCCCAGGGGAATTCCAGACAGGAAACAATCAGGGCCAGCTAATGCCTCCCAACAAAGGATTCCCCCCAGACAAGAAGCAGCCAGGCTTTGAAGCTGCAAGGCTGTATAAGGCTAATCAAGGTGGCCAATTGCAACATTAACACTTGCCTCCAACAGACAAGAGTTCTTTCTCCCACCCTGGACATTCCATATATCTTCTATATTCTATCTATCTTGTTGTTGTTCATTCGTTCAGTCGTTTCTGGCTCTTTGTGACCTCATGGACCAGCCCACGCCAGAGCTCCCTGTCGGCCGTCACAACCCCCAGCTCCTTCAGAGTCAAGCCAGTCACTTCAAGGATGCCATTCATCCATCTTGCCCTTGGTCGGCCCCTCTTCCTTTTTCCTTCCATTTTCCCCAGCATCATTGTCTTTTCTAAACTTTCCTTTCTTCTCATGATGTGGCCAAAGTACTTCATCTTTGCCTCTACTATCCTTCCCTCCAATGATCAGTCGGGCTTTATTTCCTGGAGGATGGACCGGTTGGATCTTCTCGCAGTCCAAGGCACTCTCAGAACTTTCCTCCAACACCACAGCTCAAAAGCATCGATCTTCCTTTGCTCAGCCTTCCCTAAGGTCCAGCTCTCACATCCGTAGGTGACTATGGGGAATACTATTGCTTTAACTATGCAGATCTTCGTTGCCAGTGTGATGTCTCTACTCTTCACAATTTTATTGAGATTGGACATTGCTCTCCTCCCAAGAAGTAAGCGTCTTCTGATTTCCTGGCTGCAGTCTGTGTCTGCCCGTAATCTTTGTGCCTAGAAACACAAAGTCTGTCATTGTCTCCACATTTTCTCCCTCTATTTCCCAGTTGTCAATCATTCTTGTTGCCAGAATCTTGATTTTTTGATGTTTAACTGCAACCCAGTTTTTGCACTTTCTTCTTTCACCTTGGTATAAGGCTCCTCAGCTCCTCCTTGCTTTCGGCCATCAAAGTGGTATCATCTGCATATCTAAGATTGTTAATGTTTCTTCCAGCAATTTTCACCCAGCCTTGCATTTTTCAAGCCCGCACATTGCATGATGTGTTCTGCATACAAGTTGAATAGGTTGGGTGAGAGTATACAACCCTGCCATATGCCTTTCCCAATCTTGAACCAGTCTATTGCTACTTGGTCCTTATACAGATTCCTCAGGAGACAGACAAGGTGATTTGGTATGCCCATACCACCAAGAACTTGCCACAATTCTATCTATCTATACACATAATAAAAGTGAAAATTGTGTGTGGCACAGACACTTACACAAACAGCCTCCCATGTCCACAAAGAGCTATAACCCACAGCACCAAAAGCCCTCCCTCCAAGGACATTTCAGGTTACAGCGGGAATCATGTCTCCCAACTCCTGCCAATGTCCTACGAAAACACCATACTGCCCACCACCCAAGATATGCTTTCATTTGGGGATAATTTCATCCTAGATGTCCTGTTTTCCCTCCAGAATGGACATCCCAGGGTTCCTTTCTCTCCCTCCATTGATGTGGAATTTGCATGATCCCATCCACTGCCTTTCCCTTAACCCTTTACTACCCTTTCCTATGGCATACTGCAAACCTGGGACCAAGATCGTGTATATAAACCTCACTTGCCTAGTTTCATACAGACCTCACAACCTCTGAGGATGCCTGCCATGGAGGTGGGCGAAATGTCAGGAGAGAATGCTTCTGGAGCAGGGCCAAACAGCCCAGACAACTCACAGCAACCCAGATGATTTATTGTGTATTTCACACAGTCCCAGAGTTTCTTGTTATGTCAGTACAACACACCTACACACTGCAGCAGACACTCTACCATATTGCAACACACAGTCTGTTCTATGGGACTTTGACATAGTAAAGTGAAAGAAGGGGCTCAACAGTAGGAGTATTTGACCGCACCGTAGGGCTGGATGAGCTTGCTATCAGCTCTTCCCAGCCCATATCTGCCTCACCAGGCTGGGGGAGAGGTCAGTGGAAAGTACCGTAAATACACGCACACATATATAGATAGAAAGCTATACAGGGCTCACAACAGAGAGTCCAACAGAGAATTGGAGGTTATCATTTTGGATAACCCTGCAAAAACATCTATACTACATCTGAAAAAAGTTTTACATCCGTGGAGGAAAAAACACAACCCAGTTAGCCCTAAAAATGCTGCCACATTTCTTTTTCTTCCTCCACCTTCTCTCCTTTTTATGTTGCAAGAGATAACACACCTACTTCTTTGAACAGATAGAGAAATAAGTCCCTTTCACCATGTATTGGGTGAGTCTTTTTAAAGGAGCTGTTTTACGGGATTATCTGAATTCACATGTCTGGGAAATCTGGGAAACATGATGAGTCTGTTATATATTGTATTGTTTGTATACTGTTGAATTGCGGCATCAAATTGTGCCAAATTATGAAAGCCGCTCTGAGTTCCTTTCGGGGTGAGAAGAGCGTGCTGTAAACATAGTAATAATAGTAATAGGTGTCTTCGGTGGTGAAGCGGGTTAAACCGCTGAGCTGCTGAACTTGCTGACTGAAAGGTTGGTGGTTCGAATCCGGGAAGAGGGTGAGCTCCCGCTGCTAGCCCCAGCTTCTGCCAACCTAGCAGTTCAAAAACATGCAAATGTGAGTAGATCAATAGGTCCCGATCCAGCAGGAAAGATGCTCCATGCAGTCATGCTGGCCACATGACCTTGGAGGCGTTTACGGACAACACCGGCCCTTCGGCTTAGAAATGGAGATTAACACCAACCTCCAGAGTCCCAGAATCAGACACAACTGGACTTAATGTGAAAGGGAAACCTTTACCTTTAATTCTATCTATCTATCTATCTACATTCTCCAATGCAACA